TGAAACCCCCAAACTTTCCTAAGTGATTCCATCATACATGTAACAGTTTCTCTGTTCTTTTACAAGCTGAATCAGCAGTATTAGGAGGGAGATATTTGGCTTTATTTTACAGAAAGGAAATGGATTTGGTCATGGAAAGGGTTCCGCTGAAGGGCTCCAAGGCAGATGAGAACTGAACACGCTACTGGTCCCTCCATTCTAACAGTTTTCGCTCCCCCTTTTACAATATATTTTACATGTAAATAAACAAATGGCATAGTTTTAAGCTATATATAAATTATGTTGTACACCTAATATATCAATTTCCATTAAAGTTACATCGATACGGCAAATACCCCTTTGTACTGTTACTCAATTCCTGTCTCCTCCCAAGAAGCAATTGTTAGCTCATCTGATTTATTTACATTTCATAGAAACGTACATCTAAAAATAGATGGTGGTTCTGTTCTTATATATAAATGATAGTGCCACGAAGTAACTGTAATTTGTCTTTTTCGCTGATATCTGAAGCATCATTCTCCACCTGCGTGTGGAATCTTTGGTAGCTGCTGTGCATTTCCTACTGTTGACGCAGGTCTACAGAGTCACAGTTTTCCTGCTCAGGCTGCCACTCACGCCTACACGGAGATCTCAGGGCTGCATCAGAGCGGCAGCCTCCATGGTCTGCAACTGCATCAACTGTGTGAAGGTCAGCTGGAGAGGGTTCAAGTTCAAATAGCAATCCAGCTGTGACTTGCCAGATTTCTGGGAGGAAGGCCTCTCAACCCCCACACGCACACCCTCTCTGAAGCCTTGCCATCTCCTCCCTCCCTCTGTAGGGCTGAGAAATTCTTCTCAAGTTATCCTGGCCTGGAATTCAGACTGATAGCTTTCTCCTTAAGCCAATTTCTAGCTGTGTGTGTGTGTGTGTGTGTGTGTGTGTGTGTGTTGTGTGTTGCCGAAGTTATTTCTAATAGCCTCATTGTCCTCCTCTGCTTCCTAGCATCCTGGGATGTGATCTAAGGTTAGGGAGATTATTCCTGAAAACTTATTTCATAAGGTGAATTGAAGTGGATGAAATCTAGTAGAGAACAACTGCATGCACCATTAGTGAGTGCCACACTCAGTAACACATGATGGGAAGTTTCTCCTGTTCTTTAAAGGAGCTCTTTTAATGCTTCTTACAAAAGTAGTTTTAAGGTTATGAATTCCGTAAGCTCTTCCTGTATATTTCATGAAGCTCTGTATAGTTTCTTCAAACCTGAATGGCAATCAAGCTGGATAGAGTATTCTTTTATTTATTTTTTCGGGTCACACCCGGTGATGCACAGGGGTTACTCCTGGTTCTGCACTCAGGAATTACTCCTGGTGGTGCTCAGGGGACCATATGGGATGCTGGGAATCTAACCTGGGTCGGCTGCATGCAAGGCAAATGCCCTACCCGCTGTGTGCTATTGCTCCAGCCCCTGGATAGAGCATTCTTGGTGAAGTGTTCATTTCGTTGAGTTTTTGCACTCTATCCTTCCATATTCTTCTGGCTCATAGTGTCTCATTTGATAGATCTGCTGTGTATCTAATAGACTTTCCTTTGCATGTAAGTTTCTTTTTTGATCTTTCTGCATTTAAAATTCTATCTCTGATGTGTGCTGTGAGCGATGATGTGGCCCCTCTGCTTGCTGCTCGACCAGCCCAGGGGAGGCTGGCCTCAGGCTGACATCACTGGGCCTATTCCAGAAAGGGAGGCAGAACCCCTACCTCCCAGGTGGGCCCCAGCAGCCTCCAACACCCTCCTGCACCATATGAAGGATCCACACCACAGCTCCTGCTTGACCTTTAAAGTCAACTTTAAAATTGAGGGACTGAGGCTCACAGGGGGTGTGCATGTGGCTGGGTGTGCACGTTGTCTGAGGGAGCCAGAATCTGAATCTAGGTCTTCTATTGCAAATCTTTAGTCACTGTGATAGAAGCTCTTTTTCTACAGGACCAAAATCCCTGAACCACTATGTGACACAGTTACCAAACTGATACGAATCCTTCCATCGACCAGGACAAGATTTTAAAGCCTTTGAAACATGTGCCAGATACAGATGCTGTACTGTAAGCACATGACTGAAGAAGGAAAACTCAGTGCTCTATGATGTACTGAGGCAGTACCTCAGTCAGTAAACCAAGAGTTCTTCAGTTTAAGAGCAGATTATTTTCTTTTTTTTTCTTTTTGGGTCACACCTGGAGATGCTCAGGGGTTACTCCTGGCTTTGCGCTCAGAAATTACTCCTGGCAGTGCTCAGGGGACCATATGGGATGCTGGGAATCGAACCCGGGTCAGCTGCGTGCAAGGCAAACACCCTACCCACTGTGCTATCACTCCAGCCCGGAGCAGATTATTTTCTAATGTAAAAATGATATGAAATTCCAATTTGTTTCTATAGCATTAGTGAACAGAGCCAGACATGAGATTCATCCCTATGGATTTTTTGCAGACTAGATTAGCAGTGAATGGTCACAGAAAAGCCTAAAATATTTATACTAGACAGTGTGTGCTGACCCCACTCTAAGGAATCAGTGACCAGCCATTCATTCTATGTGAATTTACCAACTGCATATTAAAGCAGAAATCCTGATTTTTTTTTCATTTGTTCAGTTTGAGCATCAGCATGATTTTAATCCTCCCTGCAGCACTATTACATCTGACAATGGACTAAAATAAAGCTCACAGGCACAAAAACAAATTGGGAAGCTGCGCCCTCTAGTGGCTACTCTAATCACTGCTCTACTTTCTTATGCTTGTGAAAAACCAGTGAGGATTTTGGTCAGGACTTGGTATTATGTTGATACAGCAAGAACGTTGTCACATTTCTAAGATGATGATTCTAATATATTTTGTTTTGGGGACACACTGGAAATTCTCAGGGCTTGTTCTTGGCTCAGTATTCATGAATCACCCCTGGCATTGCTCAGGGGGACAATGCACGTTGCCAAGGATGGGACCTAGGTCCACCACATGCGAGGAAAGCATCCTATCTACTGTACTACAGACCCAGCACCCGCTCGATGGTCTAATTTGAAGAGTAGAAAACTTTGAACAGCTCAGCTGAGTTTAAAAGGTGATGATAACAAAATGATAGAATATACTATTGGGTATTATAATAGGAAGAGTTTTGGAACATCTTGGGAAAAAAGGAACTTTCAAGACACCAATTACCATTTATACTATTGGGAAAACTTGCTGACATTCTTGCACTTCCCTGAACATGAAAGATTCTTGTTCTATTCACTTTGATAAGTTTTTGATCTTGGGGGGAGTTATTTTCCTGTTGATTAACCCCCTTGTATAAAGGGGTTAGACAAATCTCTAAGGGTTTTCACAACCCTTACAGACCAAAATTATGTCTTTTTTTAAAAAAGATTTTACCTTAAATTGTGATTGAAGTCCTGTAATTTATAATAAAGATGGCTTCCCATGTAAAAAATTCCAATACCACACCCATCACCAAGGCACCCACTTCCTTCACTGAGGTTCCAGTGCCCTTTCACTTTGAACTCCAATCCTCCCTTTGCTGCTACCTTGCTGTGCTATGTCTTTAAGTTATCGGTAGTTGGGCACTCGGGTATTTCTATACCTTGGCTATTGAACTAAGTGCTGCAATGAACCAAGTGTGCATCTATCTTTAGTGTTTTTGGGGTAGATGCTCGTAAGTGGTGTTGCTGGGATGTACGGGAGTTCTGTTTCTATTTTTTCTTTTAATCTCTGTATTAAAGGCCCTCCCGTTGATCGTCGATTTGCTTGAGCGGGCCCAGTAACGTCTCCATTGGAGACTTTGTTGTTACTGTGTCTGGCATATCCAATACTCTCGGTAGCTTGCCGGGCTCTCCGAGAGGGGCGGAGGAATCGAACTCGGGTCGGCCATGTTGGCCGCTTGTAAGGCGAACGCCCTACCCGCTGTGCTATCTTTCCAGAGACTGAACCAAATGACATTCCCACCAATGGTAAATTTTTTTTTCATCTTTCACACCACAACCCTAACATGAGCTTTTTCCATGTTTTGTCCACAACTGGCGATGTTCAGGGCTGACTCCTCGCTATGCACTCAGCAATCACTGAATAAACCCAGGGCAGCCACCAGTCAAGGAGTGTCCTACCTGTTATATTGTCTCTCTGACCCTCTTTCCATTTTTTGGTAAGTGCCATTCTCACTGGCATGATTTTACTCAATGTCACTTATTTTCTTTATGAGTAACAAGCACTTTTTCAGTCTACTAGCCATCCACATGTCTTCTTGAAAAATGGTTTGTCTCTTTACCCATTTTTGGATATGGTAATTGGATGTTTTGTTGCTGAGTTTTGTGAGTGCTTTATCTATCTTGGATATTAGCTCTCTATTTGGCGATAGCACAGCGGGTGGGGCGTTCACCTTACAAGCGGCCAACATGGCCGACCCGAGTTCGATTCCTCCGCCCCTCTCGGAGAGCCTGGCAAGCTACCGAGAGTATTCGATATGCCAGACACAGTAACAACAAAGTCTCCAATGGAGACGTTACTGGGTCCGCTCGAGCAAATCGACGATCAACGGGAGGGCCTTTACCTTTACCTTTTTACCTTTGGTCTATTGCGTGCAAATATTTTTTCCCCTTTAGTAAAGTATCTTTTTATTATGTCTGTTTGGAAGAGTAAAAATTTCTTCCATAGATTTGCCACTTAAGAAATTTACTAAGGTTATTCAGCTAGAAGTGGCAACACCATTCCAGGCCAGTGTTGATCTCAAGTTATTTTGTTCTTGACAGTGAACACCGTGGTTCTGAGGTATTACTGTGACTGCCACTGCAGGGCAATTTCTCTTGGAAGACGATATAGGGCATCTCTGGATGACTGGGTATTTGGGAAATTTTGCTGTGCTTGGTACTCTGTCAAACAGGATTATTTGAGTTAAGAAGGCATGAATGAGGAACTGGATTACAGTGGAATCTTACTTCGACAGATTAAGAATTCCTTTTCTGTGCAGTATCTGCTTTTTTTTCCTTTTGAGTGACTGAGGTTCAAGGCAAACAAGTCTTTTTTTAATAAACTTTTATTTTCATATTCAAGGTAATGCATGTACACAATTGATGTGGAAATAAATAACTAGAAATGCTTTTAGAAACTTTTCCATTTCTCCCTCAAACTCAATTTTTTAAGTCATGAGTCTTTTTAATTTGACTTTAAGAAATATGGCAACTATAATACTGAAAGAAAAGGGAAGCACAATTTGTACAGAAACATGTAGCTGTCTGATTACAGAGTTTAAGTGGTGTCTTAATAGTAAAACAAAACAACAAAAAAAAGCACACAAGACAAACACTCTTCAATAGATTTACTCAAACAATTCTGCTCACTGAGAAGAAAAAAGGCACAGATTTAAGAGATTTAAGAGGAGAATAGTGATTAAGAATATTGTAAATGGGGCTCAGCCAAAAAGTCTGGGGGTGGAAAATGAACTCTTTCCAATTATTTGCCTTCATTAAAATGAGTTTTTAAATTAAGTTGTATAAACATATGATATAAAGTTGGTATGTAAGAGCTGTCTTTGTATATTTCCTCTATGTACAAATATTTGTATACAACTTCAACATTCCTTATGTATTTCCTGTATATCAAACATTCAGCGCTCCCCAAATGCATACCCCTGTGGAGCTCTGGAAGCTGGAGGGCCCCAGTGGCTTTCAGTCAGAATGGCTGGGAAGCAGGAAAGTCCAATCAAATATAGTCATCTTCAACTGGCTCTCCATTGACATCACAATAGTGGATAAAAATCGCCACTACTCGCTGAAACACACCTTTCTTCATCTGTCGCATCTCTGAAATTTCTTCCCCTATTGTTTCCATACAGATGTCTGCTGACAGCTGCCCTTTCCTTCGAGGAGCATAGATGGTGCCTTGGAAGAGGGGGAGACAGGAATGATCATTAGAATCATCTGGAAGATCACTCTGATTAAATGGGTCCTTGAGACACACCTATATATCATAATGCAATACAACTGAGAGAATATGAAACGGTCATGATGAGGTTCGCTCTCAGTTCAGTAAGATAGCACATATGGTATCTAAGACAGCATTCATCATTAACAGGCTCATGGGGAAAATGCACCAGGGCTAACTCGAGTACATGCATAAATTTATCTCTTCTTTTTTGTTTCTGGACTACAGTCAGCAGTGCTCAGGGCTTACACCTGGCTCTGTGCTCAAGGATCACTCCTGATGGTGCTCAGGGGACCATACGGAGTACCAGGAATTGAACCCAGGTCTGCTGCATGCAGAGTAAGCATCGTAGGCACCGTACTATCGCTCCCATTTCTTCAAATTTTAAAAAGCTTCTTACAAATAGGTACGAAGTCTGCTAACAATGAAAATTCCTTCAAGTTTCCCCTTAAAGATGGGAAGAGATAGCTCAATAGGCTGTCTCACATTGTTTGTATGCAAGAGGCTGGTTCAATCCCAGGAAGCCCATGGTACCCTGAGATGCTGTTATGACCTGGGGAAGGAACCCTATTTAGAACTGGGTATGACTACAAGACCAAAATAAACAAACTTTCCCTCTAAATATCTATGCCAAATGTAAGTTCTCATAGGTTACCTCACAAAATGCATTAGGATAATCACTATAACGAAACAACTTTGAAATAAAATAGGTGACCAAATCTTCAAAAAGGCATAATACAATTACAAGCATGCAGCAATGTAAGAAAATGCATTGGAAGGAACCTTCCCATCCACCTTCACCATGGGGCAACTGATCAGCTAAATTAAACATTTGTAGCTATTTCTCATAAGGAGAGAAGCAAATAACAAAAAGCAAATGAAACGTTAATATAAGGAGCAATTTTAGAGTTATACTATTCCTGTCACACAAAATATTAAATATCTAGAACACTAGAATATACTAAAAATGGAGAATCCAAAATCAATTCAGGTAATAATTACTTTCTTCATCATCTTCAAAGTCATATCTGGCAAAGCTATTGGGCTCTGCTGCTCGTAGTGATCTTAGCCAGGGAAAGTCCGAGATCATAGAATACGGGGCTCCATCCACAACACCTATAAGAAGAGAGGTTAATGACCTATGGCGTTACCGTGATGACAAACACTACGATCATTCTGAAATATAAAATGAACTTTCAAGCACACGGAGACAAAAAATGTAGATTCCAGCTCTAGTTCTGCCACTGTCATGTGACCTTGTTCATCCTCTCCTTCTGCTAAGCCTGTTTTCCTCTCACTATACATAAAAATGAAGTCAAGTTAGGTGCCCTTTCAAGGCCCTCCCAACTCTTTGAAAAGCAAGTTTCAATCTTTACTTTTATGCATCGATACTGATTAATTTAGGTATGGTAAAAATGCACAGGGAGAGAATTATTTATCTGGTCCTTACATATTTAAGGATGTAGATATTTAAATCACCCGTAGATTTGATAAACTTACAGTTTCTTCCATCTCATCCTCCATCCCATCTTCCCTACGAAATGTCTTAACTTATAGCTAACCATCCAACACTGGGGGCTGTTAAATGATAGTACAGTGGATCTAGGGCACTTGGCGGACGCAGGTTTGATCCCCAGCACCCGAGATAGTCCCTGGAGCACTGCAAGAGTGACTCCTGAGTGCATAGCCAGGCGTGAGTCCTGAGATCCTCCAGGTATGGCCCCCCAAAAACAAAAAATAATAATCTTTAACACTTTGTAAATGCTCACCTTCTAGAGTATAGATTTCTCTGCCCCAGGGATACTTGGGGTACTTCTTTAAGTCGTCTTCACTTCGTGTGGCTTCAGGGAAGAATTCATACTTTATGAGCTCTCTGGAGACAATAGAAAAATGAAGTAAAAATTACAAAGTGATTCTGGTGCATGAAGGATAGAAACTTACCAAACTACGTAAGGGTTAGATTCCACTGATGATCTCAAAGTATTATCTACCAAACAGAAGTAACATATACTTCACTATCCTCCCGTTGTTCATGGATTTGCTCGAGCGGGCCCAGTAACGTCTCCATTGGAGACTTTGTTGTTACTGTGTCTGGCATATCGAATACTCTCGGTAGCTTGCCGGGCTCTCCGAGAGGGGTGGAGGAATCGAACTCGGGTTGGCCATATTGGCTGTGTGCAAGGCCAATGCCCTACCACTGTGCTATCGCTCCAGCCCCTGAGAATATATATCTAGTAAAATTAAAATTACTTTTGTCACCATCTTTTAAAACCATACTAGACCAAGAAAGGCATTCTCTAGGCAAATGTCTTGTATGTGGATGACGTTTAATATGCTTACATAACAAATCACATAGTCTTTGCTATGGCCTAAGGCTGTGAGGAATAAAATTAAAAACAGTCTGTTTTGCGATTTTCCTGAAGTCTGAATATGAAAAGGTACAAATGTTATTCATGCTTTAAAGTTTAAGTTTTGGGACCTCAAGAAGTTGCGTGTATGCTTTGTACGATTCCGGTTTTGGTTCCTAGCCACATGTGGTCAGCCGGGAGCAATTCCAAGCATAAGACAGAGGGAAGCCTAAAAACCAAAGCCAAAACCAGAGGGCCAGAGGGATGGCCCAATGGGCTATGTGCATGTTCTGCATGCAGGATGCCCTAGTTTGATACCCCACAGTGCATTGTCTCCCAAGAACCACAGAGCCAGTAGTCCCTAAGCACTGCCAGATGTGGACCAAAATTTTTTTTTAAAGTTTGCTGCCATTTCCCTTAGTTTTCCTATTTCAGAAAGACACTGAAAACAATCTGGAAGTGCTAAATTTAGAATATGTTTCAGGAAGTCCTCACTAGGGGAAACAAAAGTAAAGATTCTCAGGGGGATCCAGATTACTTACTGATTGATGTTTGCAATTGTGTCCATCCAGCTGCGAATCCTCACTTTGTTCCGGACATTGGGAGGGTTACTGAATTCATGGATAATACAGATATGATAAGGGTACGGTCCACTAAATAACTTCTGCTCCAATGTTAGTGTGTCCACCTATAGACAAAATCAGAGAAGGCTCAGAACAAGGGAAGAAAACAGTTTAGAAAACACTCTTCTCCAGTATGAAGAATCCTTTCTTGGGCCTTCACAGTTTAGAATCTCCAGATGACTGAAAGTCAAATAGTTCACTTAACCCTGAAAACACTGACTACCATAATAGGAGTAAGGGTTAAGCAAATACTTCTGATTAGTCTATGATTTACATCTATTGGTACCAAATGCACATTAAACCAGAGATTCTGGATTCAGGTTAACTATTCCCAGGAATCAGTCTACTTCCAAATATTCACTTTAGTGATTTAAATACGGACTGCATTATAAGTGGACCAGAGCTTGTCCCTAGACAGATGCCAGTTCCTTACTCACTTGTACTCTCTGCTGTTCACAATTTAATCTCAGCGAATGTCTTCCTATGGAACCCCTGTGCAGTCAACCTCCCCAGAGAAGGCAAATTTCTCAAGGGAAGGAGAAAAAAATGGTGCAACTTTCAGTCCCAGAAAAATTCTAGGCACCCAATCAACAGTTTGTTATAATGATGGTTTTACAAACACTGTCTCGAAAGGCTGCTGAGTATTTCCTCTATAGTTCATTTTGACATCAAGTACAATCTCACATAACTGTCACTTGTCATAATAAGGACAACGAGAGCCATAATGGCTGTCACTGCGATTGCTTACTACATCTTCCCAACTGTTCTAGCATTTCACATATACTAATTTAACCATCGCAGTAACTAGGTTTCTATTCTTTTAATTTGACATATGAAGAAACTGAGGGAGAGAAGAAGTGTAATCTGTTAGAGGTCGATGAATGAACCGGCAGTTAGTTTCAAACCAGAGTCTGTACTCTTAACTACAGGCAAGTTCTACTGAGCACAAAATTTGTTGAATAAGAACTTCTCTCATCATACAAGCTGCAAAAAACTAGCAAAGCATCATCCAGTAGAGACACAACTTAAAAAGATTGGCAGAGTATTTTTTATTTTAAAAAAGTGTCAGCGATGATTCAATAAATAAAATTATAAAAAATGAAAAAAAAAAGTAAAGTGGAGTTCATGCACAATTCAATCAGCTAATCAGTGGCTGAATAAATAGCAGTACTCCTACATTTAAAAAAAATAAATAAAAAAGTGTCAGAACCTCAAGGATTATCAAACTATCAGGCAGAACAAATGAGTAAATGCCAAACTCAAAAGCAAACAAAATAAATTACTGCGATATGTTTAGCATCAGAGAGGCGCAATGTATTACCTGCTGCATTGGGCGTAGGTATATGATGCGGTTTCTCTCAGGAGGCATCCTTAGTATTTGATCTAGTACCTGGTCCATATTCAGTTTCTTACACTGTGCATAGTCAAATCGATTTACAATTGGAGCATTTTCTACTTTTAAATGTTTCAGTACTCTGCACCTGGTAGCTACAAAATAGAAACAAAGGTGTTATAAATAATTCACACAAAATAATGAGGCAAGGGAGAGATTATTTAAAATCATGTTTTGAGGACTGATTCCATTTCTACCAACATAAATCTGCAGACACTGATAACACTGTAAGTCACAGTTAATGTATTACTTGAAAATAAAATTCTTTTCTGTTCAAAACAACGTAGTCTCCATCATGCTAGAAGGACATTAAGGTACTTTTTATTATTTAAGATTTTACTAGCAAGAAACCTAAGTCCCAGAAAACGACTTATCTAAACCACTAAGGAAATATCCAATAAAAATTAATGATAGTCACTACTAAAAGATATACTTTTATGTTCAACAGTCAAGTAAGCCACCCACATATTACCTTAGATTCTCCTATAGGAAATGAACACAACTGACTTTAATTCCTATCACAAGCATAAAACAGAAACTTGATAAAAAGACCTTATGAACATTTGTATATTTTGGTCTCAAAATTTTTTTTTTATAATCCAATTTGGTAATCACTAGCCACAGGTAAAGGGTAAAGGTAAGGTAAAGGCCCTCCCGTTGATCGTGATTTGCTCGAGCGGGGCCAGTAACGTCTCCATTGGAGACTTTGTTGTTACTGTGTCTGGCATATCGAATACTCTCGGTAGCTTGCCGGGCTCTCCGAGAGGGGCGGAGGAATGGAACTCGGGTCGGCCATGTTGGCCGCTTGTAAGGCGAACGCCCTACCGCTGTGCTATCGCTCCAGCCACAGGTAGTTAAAAAAAAAATCCCAACTACTTTAAATGTAATAAGGTGAACAATTCTGTTCTCTAGAAAACAGCCACATTGTTCACTGCTCAACGCTCATCTGTGGGCAGGGGCTTCATTAAGCAATGCAGAGGACAGAACAGTTCCGACACTTCATAAAGTTCTAATTGAAAGTTCTGTTTTGAAATACTCAATATTCTACTGACTTCAACATGTATATTATGAAATTATAGAGGTCATGGTGACACAGTGTATATCTATAATGACATCCTAACCTCAGTAAAGTATCCTCATTTCCCGCTTTTTTCCTTTGGAGATCAAGTATGAGATTCTCAGAAATCAGGGGCAAAGCAGAACTCTGACAGACTCTTAATAACTTAAGGCTAGGCTGGGTCCTAGTCCTTTTGCTTTAGAAGAAAACTCCAATAGGATGTGGTGACAGATATTTTAAACTCTTTTGGTTGGAACTGAGTGAAGGGTCACCCCTTAAGGGGAAATATGAGTCTAGGTCTGGGATCCCTAAGTCTGGAGTTTTCTAGAAATCAGAAAAGAAGTAGTATTCCAATTTTAGTTTTCTCTCTGATTTCTAGGGTTCTCCTAGTTTGACAAAATGTTAGATAAAAAAACGGTCTTTACAACTGCCAGAATCACAGGTGTGAACAGAAAAAAACAAACAAACAAAAAAACCCCTTTACACTTTCCCTTTACACTTTCCCAGTTTTCACTAGAGATAAGAGTCTGTACTATGTGCACGCACAATGTACGGACATATATGTATCAGTGCATTTACCTTGTTAGGTTAAATGACTTATAAGATGAATACAATTATTCATATTTTAAATATCAGAAAAATAAACAAAATAATACATTCTGCTCAATTCAAGTAGACAGTCTCAGTGCCATAATTTTTATATGGAGAGTTATCAAAAATAGATTTTTAAGTAAAATGTGAGAAAATAGATTCTGTGCAGGACAAACTACCAATTTAAAATTTGGTAAGTGCATACAACGTGATACAAAGTCTTTACAGGGTGTTAACATACTTTGCCAGATTAAGTAACAAATATCATTTGGAAAGACAAGTGGAAAGACTATTCTAGAAGGCTAATTTAAAAGACCCAAGTCTCTGCACGAGGAAACTCACAAATTCTATGGAATTGCTAAGAAGTACACACAACAAGGAGGTAATTATAAATTATCCAACAGATTTTTATGTTATTGTTGGGGTCACACCCAGCAGGAACTAGGTACATGGCTACTCCCAGCTGTGCTTGAGGACCATGTAGCAGTACTAGGAAGAGAATCAAAGATTCCCACATCCAAGGCATCTGCTCTACCATCCATCCCTAGTCCCCAATGATTCATTAAAAAAAAAAACAAAACAAAAAACATACATTTATGAGTCTGCCATTCCTTTAATTCATTTATGATTGCTTTTGGATGATATAGTCATAAATACATACCATGGATGAACATCATCTTGGGACAGTCTTTTAACACTAGATCTGTGATTCCACAATTGGTCATAGTGACTCCAACAAGATTTTTAGATTTTAATACAAGGACCTACAAGGAGAAAAAAACTTAGAGGAAAATTTTAAGCTTAATTTTTTGGTACAACTAAAATGCAGTTATTATCAATTTTCTTTTCACAGAAATAAAAGTTTAGCCCCTCTAGGAACTTCATTGTCTTGAAAGGTAACTAAGGGCTTTTTCCTCACCTGCACGTGGTCATCCTCAATCACAGGATCACTGGTACTGGTGGATTTATCGGCTGTCCGCTTCCGTTTCATAGCATGACGCGACTTTGTTTTGGCGACTTCTAGAAGAAGAGGAAAACCCCAATTTTGGCCTTGTTTTTTTTTTTTTTTTACTTTTAACAGAACACATTTGATTGTAATGTATAAACTACACCAATGGAAATCACACACATATAAGTTGATTTCCATAGGAATGCAATCTGAGGGCTATTTTCAACTGGCTATTCAAAACCAAGATTACCTTCCATGATCTCAAATATTTACACTAAACACTGCATTCTTTTATTCCTTTTAATAACTAAGCTGTTTCAACAATCTAACATTCCAGCCTAAGTATGTATACCTGTAAGTTAAAGCTGCCATTTTCCTGCAAAACAACTTCATGTTACTAACAACTGCCATGAATGTCTGATATCTGGAGTTAGGCTTAGTCTAGCCTATTCTCAATTTTATTCCATTCTAATCCCCAGTGCCTTTTTTGTTTGTTTTGTATTGCTGGCCAGTTCTGCTGGTCCTATCCCATCTGTACCATTGCTCTGGCCCCAATGTCAGTAATTTTTAAGCAATACAAAAGCATCTTCTGTCCAGAATATCTTTTCTGACTTCACTTCTTTAAAATTTACTTATCCCTAAAAGGTCCAGCTCTAACAACATCTGCTTGAATGGTTAATCTGGATCCCCAAACATAATACAGGGTTTATTGTAACTCTTTATATGTTATTTTTTTCTTTCTTCATTTAAAGTTGGCAACTTCATTTGCAAGTGAAATATATGCTGTCATGTCCTTCTTTTAGGAACTTTTTATAGGATATTTTGATTTGTGTGCTGTTTTAGTCTCTAATCTCTTAATCATCAAGCATATAAGTAGCTATCTGATTATCTGGTTAGTCTACATTTAACAGTGCTTTTATGATAATGCTTTTTTGTTCAGAAATCTTGTCTTGCTTGTCCTAGAGTTACAGAGGGGTTTCAAAGGCCCTAATAACCAGGCCCTTTGTGATACCTTCATGACTTTCTTTGAAGAACTATATCACTGTACACACCATACCAGTTTTCTCTTCAGTGTCTCACCTTAATCTCTACTTTATTTTTTTTTTTGTCTTGGAGAGCCCGGCAAGCTACTGAGAGTATCTCACACACACGGCAAAGTCTGGCAAGCTACCTGTGATGTATTCAGTATGCCAAACACAGTAACAGCAAGTCTCAAGATGGAGACGTTACTGGGCCCGCTCGAGCTAATCGATGAATAACGGGAGGGCAGTACTACAGTGCAGTGCTACATTTAAAGTTTACTTAATGCAAAACAGTTCATCTTTGTATTGATGTCATCCATTTCAATGAGCTAAAATAAACATTTGTTGAATGAACTGGCACTCAATATTTATTAAGTAAATGGTGCCTAACAGATTCAGAAATTCAAAAATAAAATATTTACTGAATGCTTATTGTGTGCCAGGCATTTTGCCAAAGGTTTTATTTGAACTATCTAATGTAATCCTAATAATAGCTCCCTGAGATAGATTTACTGTATTACTTATCTTACAAATTAGGTACAGACACAGTGAGACAAATAGCTTGCCAGTGTCTAAGTGGTTGTGACCAAAAAGTCAACAACCCATCAGGCAATCTAGTGCCACACTACACAAGAAAACCTGAACTCTTTCATCTGTCAAACCCTGGTTAGTAAAGGCCTAAATAAAACAAGACATCATGAACTATAGCTGACCATCTACTCTTCCGATTCACTTCACCTGGTAATTCTCGAATTTAGATGAAAAGAAAAAATAAGGGTGGGAAGAAGGTATAAGTACTGCAAAAGCCCAGGGCTAGAACCACAGTACAGTGCGTTGAGTGCTTGCCTTGCACTCATCCAATTTAGGTTCAATCCTTGGCACCCCATATGGTTCCCTGAGCACTATGAGGTGATTTCTCGGTGCATAACCAGAAGTTATGTCCTGAACACTGCCAGGTGTAGTCCGCAGACAGAAATAAACAAACAAACAAAACCCCAAAGAAATGGGCTCAGATGGGAACTTCCTTATTTTTTTTATACACCCAGAATCCTTTTTATTGAACACTGAAATTTTACTATGCAAAATAATATGATTACTCAAAACTACTCATTAAACTTTCTCTAAGGACCCTTATGCCAAACCACACCCTGGAGAATTCTGAAGGGAACCCATGGAAAACTTTCTTCCACAGGGCTTGAGTGACAGTAGTGGGGTAGGGTGTTCGCTTTGTACGATGCTGACCCAGGTTTGATCCCCGAACACCACGACAGTCCCCCATGCCTGCTAGGAGTGATCCCTGAGTGCAGAGTCAGGAGAGGCTCGCACTGCTGGATGTGCCCCCCCAAACCAACCAACCCCTCCAAAATAGCAAAGAAAGTTTTCTTCCACTGTTACTGTCACAGATGACTATCAACACATCTGCTATAATCAATATTAGGTTCAATATTAGGTTCTGGTTCCCTTTCTCAGGAATCAGGACAAAGCTGAAAACAAACAGAAAACAGATGTTTCTATTCTTTCATGACAACATTCAAGTAAGAATCTTCTAGTCTTTTCTTTTAAATCACCTGACTTCGCACGCTAGCACGCGCGCGTTTGTGTGTTGTGTGTATGGGCCACACCTGGCTCTACATCAGGCTCAAGGAATGATGTAGAATGCCAAGATTGAACCCTGGTTTGGTACATGTACAGCAAGTACTTTACCCCCTGTATTATACCTCTGGTCCCTATTGCCTGATTTTCAAACTTCCACTTCTGTGGACTGCATTTGCCCCTTCCCTTTTCAACCAATCAGAGTATTAAATTCGAGGTTAAATTTCCTACTCTGCATAATATACAAACTGTTGCTTATTTTCTATGGAGAGTTGTAAAACTTGATTACATTTTATAGGTAGATACCTGAAAAAGGCTACCCATAGTAAAATAAAATAAAAATTTTCTTATTTTCTTATGTTGCTCTCTGTTTAGGGGTAATTCTTAGTCATTTCACACATCCACTAGCATCAACCTACCTCATAAGATGGATCCTACCACTTACTAACTTCATAATTATTCACTGAGCCCCAAACCAAGTAAGATACTATGTTAGAAGGTGGGACTATAATGATGAACAAACAGACAATGTCCCTGCCCTCATGGAGCTCATAGTATACTGCAAAGATAGGACAAAACATAGAGTGCAATATGAGGCAATAAACATTAGTTGAAAGAGGCTACTGAAACAGAGAAGCTCAAAAACCCAGTCCTGAGGTGTAAGGGAAAAAAGGTTGTTAGCATTTTTGACAACTGCAGAGTAAATCTAAATGTTGGTCTCTCACCCAATTTTGTTTGTTTGCTTTTTGGGTCACACCCGGCAATGCACAGGGGTTACTCCTGGCTCTGCACTCAGGAATCACTCCTGGCTGTGCCCAGGGGACTTATGGGATGCTGGGAATCGAACCCGGGTCGGCTGCGTGCAAGGCAAACATCCTACCCGCTGTGCTATCTCTCCAGCTCCCTCGCCCAATTATTTTTTTTTTCGCCCAATTATTTTTTATAAAATTTATTTACAAAGTATTACACAACAAGGATAAGAAATTTATGTGTTTATTCCCAAGGTAGGACCTCATAAGACAAATAACTACATTAACTTATATAAAGCTATAAATAGAAAACCAAATAAAAACCCAAGTGCTTTCTTTAAAAAAAAAAAAAATCTGGAATGATTCTGTTACTCTGCAAGATAGTACTTATCCCCTTTAAACTTTCAAAGTAAAATGGCCAAGAGAAAGCAAAATATGCCATATGTAAAACACCAGGTTATAAATCACTCAAAAAAGAGACCCAGAATCAGTACCTTGACACCTGTTCAGAAAAGATGTTATTTAAAGTAAACAGACATTTGCATCATGTTTAAGAATATTAGGAAATAATCTGTCTCATAAAGACACATTGGCAACATATAGCAATTTTTCCAAACGGATTAAAAAAAAACCACTTAATAATGTGTAAATAACTAGATGAAAAACGTTTTCACCTAATTATTAAATTTAAGAGTTTTAGTCATGAAACAAGTCAGAAGGACATGGTAAAGAAGACAGCAGAATAGAAGGCAAAGAGGAAGCCAAAATACCTTTTTATATGAAGGTTCTACATTAAAAACCAAATACCCCTAACAGAGAAACTCTACTAGAGACAGAAGACAAAACTGGATATAGAACTATCCTCAAAAAGGAAGAGTTCTACTATAAAGATGATATCATTCTAGTCAATTATTGTCAAAGTTTGACAAAATAAAAGATACAACTATAAAAATGATAAATACATGACTAGACAAGAAAACTTTAAAAAATAATTATAAAAGGAAACAGAACAGACTGCTCAGAGATAAACCTGAGTAAGGCAGACAGTAAAAAGAGCAAACATTTTCTGAAATGTCAACAGGATGGCTGTCAATAAAAAAGCACTGAAACAACATGGTGACAATCTGAAATAAAAAGTTATCATGGCCAGGAACTAAAACAAGACTAGATTAATGAGCCAAAGAATGAGAAAATGTGAACAACTCTCTGAACCACGCACAGTATTTGAACAACAGCATAAAAATAATTATATAGGTTAACATGTTGATCTGAGTTTATATATATGAAAACCTGAGCAACAAAAATGCTAAAATGAGGAGTTTCTCTTTAACAAGTAGTTTCAACTCAGGACAATGAATGTGGTGACGGGGCATAACAATCTGAGGCATGTTAGTGCCAATGAACGATATGCTTCAAAATTGTCAAAAGTAAATTGCATGTTATTTTACAAAATAAAATAAAATCCAGGCTAGAAAAGTATCTTCATCAAACGAGATTTTAACTAATGCCAAATTACAATGTAATTTTACTCTGAGTTTATGCTACTATATGATAGTAAGAGTATCACATAATGAAGGTCTATTTATTTTATAAAGCCTTGTTTCTGGTAGTTTAATTACATTTTAAAAAATGTACCAATTCTTGTATTCTAGACTGTTAAGATTTTAAAATTGAGAAAGAACTGAACTGTTATTCATTATTAGGCACTGATGACTTAATATAGTTGGGAGGAGATAATTTTAAAAATAAGGTAAAAATACAAACAATTAAGATTTTTAAAAAGTGCACACGCCCACATTTATACATATCAACAAAATTACATACATATATTTTACCAGTATCAATTCATTCAAACAATTCTCAGCTAACTACTTACCTGTTTAACTCCTGAAAAACCTCACAGGAAGCAAAAATAGACTTCAGAAAAAAATTAAAATGACCAGTACTACAGACAAAAGGGTATATCTCCCACACATGTTCCCACAACCCCAGTAACCTCAGGACCTTACCTGGTAACTAAGATTTACAACTTCACTAAATTAAGACTTCAGTAGTGAGAGGTTGGGAGTGGAATTAATTAATGGGACTTAGACATTGGAATCAATATTGTCAATATTGCCTTAAATATAGTTGTAATTTTCTTTAACACATGGTTGAGTTTTTCTGTGCGGATCTTTTATAAGCTGTTTTATAATCCCCCCACCCCCACCCCCATTCCCACCCCCCACTGCTGAAAATTAGTTCAAAAGCTTTAAGAGTCACAAACCTCCCACGTCAGATTCTATTTGCCAAATGGGCTTTGCGCACGCAACCTTACGGAATGAGCGAACGCCCATCTCCGTCCTAACCTGCAGGTGCTAACCCTGGGAGCATTGTCATACCTGACTCGGATACCAGCAGTACATGGGAGAGTCTGCTCCTGGCCCTTGTTAGGGGCCTCCGAGGGAAGTCTTCATGAGACTGCACGTCACAGTGCTCAGGCTGGGAGCTCCCCCTCCTGTCCTCACCTGTAGCCCCAGAGCCATTCCCATTAGTCCTCTCATCATGTGCTGGGCCTGAAGACCCCCCTTGTGGTAGAGTCCTAAAGGAAAAGGCGGATCTCGTACCATCCGGGCCATTCACAACACAGGCTCGGCTGGTTGAAGGACGTTCCTCATCAGAACACCTGCTAGTTCTCCTTTGGGATTCCTGGGGCCTGTGACAGCAGCATCTGGGGCAGACAGAACTCTCTGCATCTCCCTCCTCCATGGCCTCAGAGTCCTCTGACCCACCGGGGGAGCAGACACACTGCCTGGACACATCCACTTCTGGAGGGCTAGGCTCCGAGGAGCCGCCGCTGTTCACCGTCCTTACAAAGTCGGGGCTTTGAGAAGCAGCGCTGTGTGAGCTGGAGGCGGCGGTGCTGCTGCAGCTGGGATAAACATCCTTGTTTTTTTTCTTTTCAGGAATATCCCTAGCTGCTTTCATATCGGCTTTGATCTGCTCACTGGTGACCTGACAGCCTTTCTCACAGCTGCTTTCCTCGAGGGGAAACTGCTTCGACTGGCCCATTTGATGGGAGTTGTACCTCTTTCGAAGTGGAGTCTTGCCTTTTCCACTTACTGCTTACAGAAAAAGAAGAACGGCCCGAGGAAAAGAAAAGATTTCAGTACAAATTCTGGACAAAAGGGCAAGAGCAAATCTGGAACAGGAAACAATGCAAACTGATGTCCTAGCACATAATGGTGACCACATCCCTCAGCCGCTCAGCATGTTTCTAGTCTCCTTGGTGCCTACCTGGTGTGTGCGTCTTAGCTTGGCCTTCCAGGCTCTCCATTTTCACCTGCTGTGTACACATTCTACAGTCCAACCAAAACTTCCTAAATACCTGCCTTACTATCTTGGCCTCTGCTCAAACCTCTTCTACACCCCCCACCCCAAATCCCTGAAGCAATTTTATCTTTGTTTCTGATTAGACCTTCCATAAGAGGGGAGGTCCTCAAGAAAGAGAAAGAAATTATGCCTTCACAGCCCCGGGGCACAATCAGAATCAATGACTATATGAAGGAATATGTCAACAAATAAGGCCTTGTCTGGCTCACAGATCTAGTTCCTAAATTCAGAAACTGAAATTTTCTAGGAAACAGGTTAATTTTGGGTTTTCCTACATAGTTTTCAGTTTCCATAAGATATCAGATTTTCTTACAAGGCATAAAATAGGAATTAAGTGGTCAGTTTATGATTAGTGAATTATTTCAAGTCTAAAGAACTGAGCTTTCCATACTCAGGTTCAGTGTAAAACATACACTGAACATTCAAACATACTAGGGAATAAGATACCAAAGGACTGACAAGTAGACAAATTAAAAAACATCAAATTTGGGGTCAGAGTGATTTGGATAGGACATTTGCTTGCACGCATCCAACATGGGTTTGATCCTTGGCAACCCATATTATGGTCCTCCCAGCACCACCGGGAGTAATCCCTGAGCTTTGCCAGTGTGATCCAAAAAAGTCCCAAAAATAAAAACAAAATTTAAAAAAAAAAAAATCACTTTTTTTTTTTTTTGCACAAGTAGTTAAGTAAAAGGTTCTGAAAAAGCAGAAGAAAGATAAGGAAGAATCTAAAAGCTAAGAGATTTATAATTTCCTCATGAGGCAAATGGCAGAAGGCTGTTGACCATATTTTAGGCAGGTAAGGGATTATAGGAAGTATTTTGGGACTCCCTCGAGCACCACATTGACCACCAACATTTATTAAGTACACTGAAGAGATGATCAATGGGGACAGGGTTGTTTTCTTGTTCCTCTGATCATTCCTCACTCTAGACTCAAGTCTCTGACTAATCTTATACCCTGATTCCACAATTTCTTCTGCAGACCTGCGATTCTTGTGTATGCCCGTCCACTGAGAGATGATTCCAGTGTTTTTATTGTCCTACACCTGCTCTCAACAGTGCCACTAGATTCCCTCCCGTTTTGCTTGGCCTTTCTTGATTTCTGTGACATTCCGTAAGGAATATGTAGCTGTACCACAAGATGTGGCAGCAATACATAAGTAAAGGCCAAGTGTCAGTTTCCAGGATGCCTCTCACTAATAGGACACTAATAAGATATAATCTCTCACCTGACAATTCTCGGGACTGCCCTGAATCACCAGATTTTCCTTCACGCTCAGAATAACGGCGAGCACCATTCTTAGGAATCCAGACTTCTTGGAGTTCTAGACTGTCTTCCTCATCATCACTCTCTGAATCGTGAACAGTAATTGGGGTTGGTTTTACTACACGCTGAAGACCACTGGGTCCTAGAGGGGGGAAAAAACCCACCAGTCTATCATTAACTTTATCATCAAGAAAGGTTTTCCTGAGATCTAGGCTCTAGAGATGTTTTGGCTATAGTAGCCTCCCTTATCGCTTGTTTGAAATGATTACGTACTTGGACAGTGTGAAAGACTTTAACTCTAAAGCATTATGTGAACACTGTGGACACCATGTCAACCATTGATGGATACTCTCAAGGTCAAATTAAAAGGTCTGGACCTCAGAGTCACATATATGGTCGTGACCATTTAAAAAACAAGCTAGGTATTTCCTTCCCCAAGTTTGCAAATGTCTGAGTGAAGGTAAGCAAATAAAGATAAATGTGAGAAACCTATGGCAGTCCGGTGAGCACTCTCTGCACTCTTTAGCTAACAGTATCATTTTACTGCAATTCACAATATAAGTGCTACAACTAGCATGATACTGGGACAGGTGTTCGAGGCCACTTCTAGGGATGCTCAGTGCAGCACTGCAAGCCTGAGGAACTGGTGCTCAAGCCCAGCCCGATGGTAGGTATGTGTTCTGCCATTTGAGCCATCTTCCCTACCCAGTTAATGTGTCCTTGAAAGATTAGTTGTATAGTATAGGTTATTGGGTTTTTGTGTTTCTATTTAAAAAATAGAAGAGAAAAAATGCTTTCTTTGTAATACATCTTATAAACCTTCAACTTTTATGATTGTCTTTAATGATTAGTATTTGATCCAGTAAAATGAAAGGTATAAGGAACCATGCCTGTCACATTGTAAATTGCCTGGCAGAGTAGAAATTCCTTAAGTATTTGCTGAATTAGTGACGGTATCTGTAAGACACTTAAAACAAATTTAGTTAATGATATTTTCAATTCAATGGGAAAGTAGCATTCCAACAGATCAGCAGTGAGAAAATGTGTTCTGACTTTTGTTCCTGGATCCTGAGCTCAATAATTTTGAGAAAATTTCTAAATATTAGTTTCTCCCTCTGTAAAAAGAAGCGCTTTATTAGATAACCTTGAAGGTCCTTATGATTTTGTATTCTAATGGCAGAAACTAGATCTTGGTCTTTACTAAACCAGCACAAGCTCTCTACTGCTCATTTTTATTCCCAAATGAAGGGAGAACATAAGCACAGTATGTTTCCAAGTACAACTCAGTGCTGGGAGGGGTCCTCGGCCTCCTGAGTATTGTTTGTGGGACCCCAAAATACAATACAAAACAAAAATCATGCAGTAAGGAAGAATATGTAGAATATAGGTACTATAATACAATAATATTGTAGAAGAAATATTATTCTGTTATGAATGTAACAGATCAAGTAGCAAGTTTTAAAAAAAAATTATCCTCAGTGTTTTCTTCTCTTCCTTAGAGCCAAACTTGAGTTTTCAGAACCAAGAATGTGTGAAGTCATATAAATTTTACCTGCTTGTTCCTCATCAACATCCACAGGAATAACTGCCTGGCTCTGAGCTGGGTTCCCAAGACTTCCCTCGGCTACTTCTCCATCTTCTTGCACCATGTCTTCCATTTCATTCAATGCTTCAAAGAAAAATAAACACAGTCAAGGTAAAACCAAGAGTTTTTAACCACTCCACAATGGCAGATAAAACTGTGTTACCTCTGAGGCATGAACCCATGACAGGGCCCACTCTGCAAAATAGCATGTAAAGTGCTCATCACAAGGACATTAACAATCAGCAACTGATTTATCCACAGAGAAAATCACAAAGAGGAAAAGACCATTTGGTGGGGAAAGGCTGTTTTTATAAGACAGATGAAAGAAGACAGAAATAAGGAGAGAGAAAAGTAAGGAGAGAGACAGTTGAAAGAAAAGAGCGCAGTGTTTCTTCTGCAAAGTATTATCTGGGAAGGCTACACTAAGGAAACTTTCCATCTCCTACTAAACTATTTGCTGCAAGGAAGTATGAGCCAGTTGCTATGATCATCTGATCAATGAGCTGTTACATGTCTTTGTGGGCAGGAAAATTGTTTTTCGGCAATGGAAAGGCAGTGGAAAGCCAGGATTATTAACAAATACACTAAATAAATATTCCATGTTTAACACCCTAATATTATTAGTCAAGTGTTTTACCTGCATCAGTCTTTACTACAGTAAAAGTGCCCGTCAATAATTTTATTTATATTATTCCTAAGGATAAGCCCTATGTGCAATTTCACATCGGTAAGCCTCAGTTTACTTTTTCTTAAGAAAAAGAAAATGCTCCCTTTTAGTAGAGTACCCCATTGCCTGCACTGTCCTCCCGTTGTTCATCGATCTGCTCGAGTGGGCCCAGTAACGTCTCCATTGTGAGTCTTGTTGTTACTGTGTTTGGCATATCGAATACGCCACAGGGCACTTGCCAGGCTTTGTCGTGTAGGCGAGATACTCTTGGTAGCTTGCCAGGCTCTCTGAGAGGGGCGAAGGAATCGAATCCAGCTCGGCCAGGCCTGCTGCGTGCAAGGCAAACCTACCACTGTGCCATTGCTCTGGTAGAGTACCCCAAACAAAACAATAATTGACTTTGCTAGCTTTTGATCTGATTAAATCCAAGACCCTAAAAATCACATTATTCAGTCCTAAATCATGAAATTCAATGAGCTTATCTAAGAAATGTGCAGTAAGAAAAAGGGACATCAAAGTCAAAGTGGACTAGAGAGCAAAGAAAATGAAAAAAATCAATGTCAATACGAGGAAACTGAGGAAAATGGTTTTAGAGATAGAAAATATCTCTGGAAAGAGGCGAGCAACAATGCGAGCATTGCTGAGATGTCAAGTAAAATGAAAGTGGAGAAATAACCGCCAGCTTTCCTAAGGGTCACTGATGACTCTGCCAGGGGCCAAAATGGAGAGAACATGTGAAAGGAGAAAAAGAATATCTAGAGATAAATAAAGATAATTCTGAGATCAGGACCTGTATTCTCAGAGCAATCTAAAGGAATTCAAGTGCTACAACACAGAATGTTTTTCTATAAGAGCATCAGAACATCAAAGCAGTATCAGAACACCGTAGTTCCCATCAATTGCTGTGTCAAAGAGAACTGTGCCCAAGACAACGGCGAAAGGGGCAACATTCTTGATAACCAGAAGAGATTTCTTTTTCAGTTCTTAAGGGTCACCCGGCAAGTTGAAAAATTTGTCAAAGAAATAATCTCCATCTTCACTCATCAACAGAATGGCAAGTAGAATATGTTGGCACAGATGTGCAGTCACTTTTTGTGGTCAGAAAGGACAGGAACTTAAGTGGAATAAGTAAAATTCATTAAGTAAAATTCATTATGTCTTCACCTATTAATTCATGGACTTTATTTGCTTAATAGCTGTAAAGATTTAATGATGAAAAGAATGTGAATGGTAACCAACACCACAGCACAGGGCAATGTTCATTTTTTCAAGTTTGTAGAAAATATAGAAATGGGTTGCACAGTTAAGACATCAGTTAAAATGTATTGAGATGCCTCCATATGTCCACAGGGGTTAAGGAGCTTGTTTGCATGTGATCAGTATGGTTCAATCTTCAGCATCATATATGAACTCCTGACTACCACCAGGAGTGATCCCAGAGCAGAGCTAGTTGTAAGCCCAGAAAACTGCCAAGTACGGCCTAAAAACAAAACGAAAAGATGCCGTCTGTACCTCAATCTTAAAGGCTGACAAAACTGTCAGGCCTCTAAGGCTCACATTTCCAAGATACTAATGACCATATTGATGAAATACTTAATGTGCAAAGTGACGCACTGAAATGGGAACAGAGTAATATAATCCAAAGTAAAAATTATTTCTATCTGGAGCTCACAAAAGATCTGGGTTACCGTCGGCTGCAAATTGCTGCTCCCCTGGCTGCAGGTCTTGCCGGAAGTCATTCTCCTCATCTGAGTCATCTGGATGATGATGGTGATGATGATGATGATGGTGGTGGTGGTGATGATGGTGATGATCATGAATGTTGGCATTATTCTGGGCATTATTATCGTTATCATTGTTAGAATTCTGGTTGCTGACCAGGGCTGAGGAAACTCCAATTCCAGTGCCTGCACTCAGGCCAACTCGAGCACAGCCCTAAGGGAAGACAAAACCACATGTTTATCGATTTATTTCATTTTCAAAACCTATTCATTTTCTCTTTAAGTAAGAATATTTATAAGAACTTTATTCCTTTCTTCACTATACCATAGGGCTTCTACAGAAGGAATGTAACCATTAAGAACTGATGAGAAAACATAATTCACTGAATCATGAAGTTCTTATTATACTGAGAACATAGCATTCATCTGTGAAGCAGTTTTTAAGTAACATTTTATATAACTGGATAACCAAGCACATACTACTAAAAAGAGTTAAAAAAGTAAAATATTTCAAAATGAATTTCTAATATACATTTACAGTATGAGTTTCTAATTAGGAAGAAATCTGACTTCCTAACTAATTTTACTAAGTAGTAACTTTTGTATTAAGCTTGTATTTCCATTTCTGTTCTTACCCTACTGCCAATTAATAAACCTACGGGAGATTACTTCTCACTTTTTCTTTCCCTTCTCAGGAGAACCCTTAATACTTATTTATAAAAGACCTATCTTACTATAACATTTAAGCCTTCACTGGGGCTGGGAGTAAAAAGTTCTATTAGTAACAATGTGAAGGTGCATTGTTACTAAAGACTATCACTTAGGTTTTGTTTCCTTAAGAATCAAAATAAATAACAGCTTGCTCAAAGTGACTAACTTTGGGTGGCTCACGAAACATCTGGTCCAGTGAAATAAACTCCAGGCTGGGTAACAATTCAATAAATTGGCCAAAGGAATCCAGCTTTAAAGCATGGCACCGCACTAAGTTGATATCAACCAATCGAGTCCATCTTGAGTGGTCTGTTGAAGAAATGACATAGCAAGAGAAAATGTAAGAAGCACTTTCTCCACTTCAGATGAATTCTGCTATATGTCAGAGACTCTCATAACTTTTCTCTTTAATTTTTCCAGATTTCTTGATCTCTTAACTTGGTAACTCTACTGATGGCATCTTACCTAATTTCAGTGTGAAAACCTAATTTCTTGGGAATCATTAAACTGAAACCAAGTCAGCCTTGATTTAAATGTGATCCACTCAGCAACCAACATATCAATTCAACATGTCCATTTAGTGTTCAATTTCTTTAGGACACTAAAGAAAATTGGTGTATTCACTTAGAACATTATGCGGCTATTAAGAGAATGAAGGGGAACTGCATATGCTGCTGATATTGACTGCTCTCCAAAAGACACTTAGTGCAAAATACAAGTCACAGGACAGTGTATACACATTAAGATCCTTTTGTATATATAAATCAGTTTTAAAATGCTATACATGTATAGGCTGCAATATGCACGAAATAATTTGTCCAGAAGAATATACAAGAAACCATTGATGGTGGTTACCTTTGAGAAGAGGAGACTTTTCATTTTGTACCTTTCTGTACTGTTTGATACTGTTTATCAAGTACATGTATTACTTTAATTTTTTAAGTGTTAACAGGAGTTCTGAGTGATGGGATTATAGGCCATTTTTTGTTTTCTTCTTTAAACTCTTCTGTATTTAAGAAAACAAACAAACCAAAAACCCAATAAATGTTATTTTTTAAAAGTGATCTACACCTGCTACAACCTAAAGTTATTATTTCCCAGTAACTTCTAGTTGCAGCTGGGGCAGGGGCAGAATTTCATTTCTTTCTGGTGGACGAGAAAGAAATTTCATTTCTTTCATGGCCATTCAAAAGAGTGAGTTCAGCAGAGACCCCAGAACCCTTAGATGGGTCTTGTGGAATGGTAGAATCACTTGAGAAGTGCATGAGATAGTGGAAAAGGCTATTCTGCAGGCCACAGGAAGGGGGGGCTTCATTTAGTTCACGGGGATGTCACAATGAAAATCCTCCAGTTCCACATTTACTTAAAAATTTATGAGTCTAGGTATTAAAAGAAGCTTTTTGATTAATCATCATTTATCTCTACATTCTTAGGGAGAAAAATGAACTTCCCATAAGAAAAATATCAAATGCAAAAATCACACCCCTAAGGGAACAGAATGGAAAGAAAGCTCTGAAACAGTCTAGAATTCTAAATCAATAGAAAATTTTATCTCAAGTTAATGTCTGCACCTAAGTCCCTCAGCCCCCTAAATACATATTCACATTTTCTTTTCAGGTGGTGTACTATTTTGAAGGTAATTCACAGAAAATAATATCCCAGGTCACAGCTCTTAACCTTAATTCCATGATCAGGGTGCTTGAAACCATAATCTGGCTATTATTCATTTATAGGCAGTGAATTTCATTTCAAAGAAGAATTATATATATATTTCTAACTTGACTCTTATTTGTAAGATTCCCAGAGCTGGTATGAACAATTCAAATAAAATATGCACATTTTATGTTAGGAATGAATCATACCACACAGAATATAGACATATTATTTTGACATCAATAATTTTTTAAAAAATAAAATAGAAAAGCCTATAGTACCTGATATCCAGTTGAATGGGTTATGTAGATGGGGGCAATTATAAATTGCCAGATACTTGATACAGGAAAAAACTTCATTGACTGCCTTCATTCCTATATCAGTGATGATACCGGGATTCTCTACCACATCAGCCAAACCATACTTCACTAAATCAGCATTAGCCATTCTACCTACAAAGAAAAATCAATTAAAAACCATTTTTAAGTGTCAAAGGGTATTGTAAGTGCTATACCTTAAAACTTATGATGGTCACTCTCTGTGATTTTGTGTCATTTGTCGAACATTAGCTCAGGTTTGGACCTATTTTAGATTAGGTACTCTCGATACAAACAGGAGCACTTCTTTTATAAGATAGGAATTAAAAGTTAAGCAACAGCTAGTAGCAAAACTTTACATTCGTTTGATTAGCAAAGGAACAAACAAAGCAAACATTTTTGCAGCAAAACTGAGGACTGAATTATATTAGCTAACAATTAAGGTGGTTTTATCTTTTAAAGAGGAAAATAAAATCTTAACATTGTAACTCTTTTCTCATAGGAAAAGGATCATGTTTTTAATATGACCTGCAAAGAGACGGGTAAATTCTGATGATCCTTAGGGTCTACTAGACTAAACAGAATTTAGATAGGAAAAAGGGTGTAAGAGTACCCTCCATCTTAGATTATAGCACTGAAAATTATACTTCAATCCTTGACTTATCATTTCTCTCTTCTGCATGCCCCTTACTCTTCAGGGTCTATAAAATAATCTGCACCTTGGAGAAGAAAATCAAAAAGGACTACACCTAGCTAAATTATATTCAATTTTCATCTAGCATATAGCACTGTGGGTATAGAAACTCAACACATGTTGTAATCGATGGACGGAGTACAAAGCACACTCCGCCCCAGCAAAGCAATCTTGCACTTTGATTTAAAACTAGCTCAGAAAACAACCAAACAACCAAACACTCCAAACACCTTACAATATGACTCTCTGTGTAGTTCCATATCAATTTCCTATAGTGGTTTTGGTCTTTTATTGTTTTTTCTTAGATTTCACTTCAATAGTATCATTTACAGTTTAGTTGGGCCATCTTAACTTCCCTCTTCTAGGCCTTGGACACAAAATTTGCCCTCTCCATTAATGCAGAGTAATTCATGAACTCATCCTGCTCCTTGAGAACTGTCAGCAAAAATGCTGCAGTCCAATATGACAAATTCATACCTTATATTCATTCTTGAAACTACTTTGTCATGCTTAAGGTTTCTTATTTTACGCATTCCCTTCAAACTCTTGAGTCACTTTTGTTTCATTCTCTTCAGTCAACTGGTCAGCTAAAAGTAAATGTGACCATGTATACATGTACTGACTACTTTCAAAGTGTCAGATACTTAGAAAGTCCAAGCTTTATCATTTGTTAAACAGACGCAAGAGCACGTTCCTCTTAGAACCTCCAAACGAAAAAGGGTAATATAGTCGTTTCAACTTAGCAGAGGAAAAACCAAGGGGAAGAGAAGAAATTTGTCCAAGGTCCTAGGAGTTAACAACAGGACTCGATCAATTTCTTTCCCCCGCTGCAAGTCCCAGCATAAGGACTATTCTATACTGCTTCACTTCATAATCAAGTATGACAATGCTGTCAGCTCTCCACTATGCCCTGAAATCATGAATCGAGGTAAAGGACCATCTCCAATGTGATTTTTTTATAAAGTAATATAAAAGCTTTGTCTCTGGTTTACAAGGCCCTCTGTAATAGACATGTGATTCAGGTTTTACCGGGGCTACCCTATCACACTTTCTGAAGAAACACTTCAAAACCTACATTACTGAGGAGGGAGAGGAATAAAAAGGTTTGAGAGTAATCTTTCCTTTTTTTCTAGATAATCACCTGGCACCTATTTTGTGATATAGAATTCTCAGTAGTCTCTGTTGGAGTAGAAGTGAAAACATATGAAAGAAATGGATAGGCTACAACAAATAAAAAGAATAGTTTCTAAAACGGTGAATACAGACTATTAGATATGAAAGATACATAAAAAATAAAACATGATGAGTCAAAAAGGGCTTTTCTGTTAAAAAATGTCTTCCAAAAGAAACAAAAGAGAAGAAATGGCTGGTTTATAAAGATCATGCTCAAAGACAACTTTCAGTAAACTTAAAGGTGAACATCAAATACATATATATATGTGTATATATATATGTATTTAAGATGATATATATCAAGGTTGAGCACTGGGAAGAATAAAAAACAAGATTACAGAATACCAATTAGCTATTATCTAAGAGAAGTTTGTTATGTAGATATTGTAGATACACAAAGATAGCAACTTCATTCAAAACTAAGAAAGCATGGCTTCAAATACAGTGAACTTATGTGAAGCTACAGAAATAGCAACTTTAAGCAATCTTGGTTGAAATAGTTTTTCTAAAGTTATACAGATTAAAAATGATTCCTAAATTGGTTAGAAAATAATTTAACCTTTTGATCCTTCCCTTGTACTAACAAAGAAATGTAATCCCACCAAAAGTGCCAAATTATTGTGAACTATATTAGAAATGAAAAATGTCGTATTTTAACATCAATGTCCTGAGTAAAGAAATTAAACATTCTTAAATTCTTCTACTATGCAAATAAGAGCCATAGAAAAATACCAGATCCATAGACAAATCCATAGAAAATAAAAATCCATAAAAACCCATAGAAGATTCATAGAAAAATCTGGTATCACTGTGCGAGCTGAAGAATGAGTTGTGGGCTGGAGAGAGAGCTCAAGGGGCTGAGCATCTAATTCACACGCAGGAGGCCTGGGTTCAATCGTCGGAACTGCAGAGTCCCCTGAACACTGCTGGACTGACCTCTGAGCAGAGCAGGGAGACCCTGAGCATCCTCAAATATGGCCCTAAGCTTTTTAATTACTAAAAAGCAATTAAACTTGTTACAAATCACAAAGGGAAGAAACAAATTCTAGCAAAAATATAAACATGCCAATGGCAGAATTTTTTCCATTTCTAATGGCATGAGGGAAAAAAACTCTGAAATCATGAACCGACATGCATTCAAACCCAAAGGAATGAAGTTGCAACTGTAAATGCATTCTAGAAAATGCTGTGAACAAGCCAGCCAACAGCAGTCATCATTAAATAAATACTGACCATTATGTGCTCACACTATCTGGAAAATCCAGAACCCAGCAGACTTATTATGGAAATGAACAGCATGGGCAGGGAATGGACCCTCATTTGTGAGGGCCATCAAAAGCTTCAAGAAGTGTGGCAGATCAAACTCAACAAATGGAACCAAAGATGAAATTCTGTGAAAAAAATGAAGCAGAATGGGAAAGAAACTTGGGCAGTAACGTAGAGACAAAATCATATATATATAGCTAAGGATCTTTGAGGGGATACTGTTAATCACTTTTTTCTATAACATGTTAAAACTGGTGGCAATACAGAAGAAAAACGAGGTACTTCAAAGTTGAAATTTGCTTTTAAGAACTGAGAGCATCTAAACTTTAAGTTATCTTCACTTCACTTCAGGAAGATAACTGGCATAGCCCAGTTTGGATTTTAGTTTGTAATTAAGTTCTCTATAGAATTCTAAGGAATGAAATGGGTAAAGTCTTACTCTGCAGCAAAAACTCATCTACATATCCCAGATGAAGGGTTTCAAACTGAGGGAATTCCAACTCTGCCATCTTAAGGGCAGAAAAGACACCATCTTTGGTTAAGGAAGGCTGGATTCGAACTTCATGTAACCTAAGAGCAAAGAGATAAACAGTAAAATTAAAGCAATTAGAATCAAGATTCTTCCTACAGTAGGTCTTTGAAAGTTTACTGGGATGTCTGATGGATATAAAGGACAAAGAACATTGCTGTCCCAGCAAAGTGATCCTGCACTTTGATTTAAAACTAGCTCAGAAAATGTTTAAAACACCAAAACATTCCAAACTCTTTACAATCTGAATCTGTGTAGAGCTCAAGTTTTAAACAGTATCCATTCAATATCCATTCTATTAAATAATATCAGAGACTTTTTTCCTTTATGGGAATATCCTGCTGGGCCATAGGTGGCACACAGAAGTTACAGGAAATAATAAACTAGATGGTAAGAATTGCATAGTCTTATTTATAAATGCTTTCTTAAAATAAAAATCAGCGTTCTTAAAACTAATTAAGCGAAGGTGAGAATCTTTTACCTGGTGCTGATACTTCTTTTGAGATCTCTTGTAATGTTTTCTATGTCCTATTTAAACAGAATGTGTTCCCACTGCAGAGATGCCATGGTACCCTACCTCTCAGGCTGTTTCATCTGGGGCAATTTGGAGGTAGGTGGGAGGGGTGAGACTCACCACCTGCCCCAAAAAGCCCTAGCAGCTAAAAACATCCAGAACTCAATTGCTTGTGGCTGATCTCCACAGGCTCGGATAAGCCTAATCCCTGAGGGTATCCGCTGAAAAACCCAGGTATGCAGGACTTGTACCGGAAATCTCCAGGCTCGCACAGTCAGGAACGGGCTACCTTCGGCCATCTCCCTGTGCTTCCAGTAGCCTGTCAGTCACGCCCACAAACTGCCTCGGTGCCATGTAAGCTCATTAGCAGCCATGATCCAGAGATTCATAAAGAACCTCAGAAAAGGAAGAGATCAACTCACTACAGAGATGCCTCCAGACCCAAAGTCACCTACCAGTTAAAAATTTAATTCTAGTTTTATCACCCTATTTAAAATCTTAGAATTCTTGGAGAGCACAGCTGCGGTTATGCAACATCTCATATTCTATACAAGGGTTTAATGACTCCAGGGTGATACAACAATCTTCACACACTTTCTTCTGAGGAAACCTTTGTGGATCATCTTTTGCAGAGTATACATAATAAGCAATATACGAAATAAATTATTATGTTCTGCTTTGGAGGCACATTTTGTGGATTGGCATGGAATAATTTGAAATATGGTGGTGGGAAGGTGTAATGGTTGTGGGATAGGTGTGGTGTGGGATAGGTGTGGGAATATTAAATATAATCAATCACTATTAACAAGTTTATAAAAATAAAATTTGAAAAAATATAAACAGAATGCATTCCATAGAACAATATTTCTTTACATAAAATCAGAAAGTTCTGTTTCATTTGTATTTGTAATGTTCTATTGATAGAGTTTTGCTTCTGAAGAAAGAAATGGTTAAATAACACTGTAAGAGTTGACTTTGATAGGTAGGAAAAATGAACGTTGCAGAAACTGATAAAAAAGATGTCTTAAAAAATATAAGATGGGGGGCTGGAGTGATAGTATAGTGGGTAGGGTGTTTGCCTTGCTCACGGCTGATCTGGGTTCAATCCCCAGCATCCCATATGGTCCCCCAAGCACCGCCAGGAGTAATTCCTGAGCACAGAGCCAGGAGTAACCTCTAAACATCGCTGGGTGTGACCCAAAAAGCAAAAAAAAAAAAAAATTATTATATATGTGTGTGTATATATATGTACACACACACACACACACACACACACACACACACACACACACACAGTGGGGCTGGAGAGATAGTTCAAGAGGGAACTCGTCTTGCACATATGCCACCCACACCTATCCTGGGCATTGCAGAAGGTAAATTCTGAGGCCCGCCAGAAATGATTCCTGAGCATAGAGCTAGAAGTCCTGAGCCCAGCCACGCATAGTCCCCAAACCAAAAATATATAGATATGGTTTGATAAGGGACCCTGGAAACATTTTTAAAAACTATTTTTCCAAGCGTTCGCCTTACAAGTGGCCAACATGGCCGACCCGAGTTCGATTCCTCCGCCCCTCTCGGAGAGCCCGGCAAGCTACCGAGAGTATTCGATATGCCAGACACAGTAACAACAAAGTCTCCAATGGAGACGTTACTGGGCCCGCTCGAGCAAATCAAATATTATCACCAACTAAAACAATTCAGAATTATCTGAAAAAATGAGAGGGTCGCAGCAAACACCAGCGCTTCACTGTGGACTTTTTGCTGCTGGACCCTCCGGTATACCCAGATAACTGACTGCTTCTCTGTAATGAGACTGAACTTGTTGGATCTCTGGAGTGCAATCCAACTCATCATTGGTTGGTAATAGCAAACTACCAAGAATGACCTGACTGCTTAGACAACGCCCAGATAGTATAGCCTGAACAAGGCACGATCAAATTTCACATTCATATTTCTCTAAATTTTTGTGAAGCTAGAAAAACAAAGACAAAAGATACACCATGGAAAAGAAACCTACCTACGGGCAGCAGTGATGATGAGGTAACCAAGATCTACTTCAAGAGCATTTTTGCAAGCTCCCAAAACAATAGTGTGCAAATTCCTAAAACCACCTAAGGAAAAAGATCAAAAACAATAAGCATTCCTTTTGTGGAATGCAACCCAACTCATCATTGGTTGTAATATTATTCTATTACATGATTATACTGCATTTTAATTCTCTACTCTATTGATGAAAGACATTTGGTTTGTTTCCATTTTGGATCTATGTTAGCAGTGCTGTTATGCTATTGATTCCAAAGTAGCTTGCTCTATCCCTCTGATGCAATGAAATACAGTATGCTTACACTTGACTTGATTAATCACTGACAAAACATCTACAAATGTAGTGTGTGCTCTTACTTAAACATATGCTTGTTACCAATGGTACCGGATGATTTTCCAATTATCATTTTGGATACCCAGTCAAATACTTAAAATTTTCAATTAATAATTATTTTATCTTGTTAAACTCTGGATAGTTTTATTGCAATGAAAGGATTAATATAAAGCACATTCTGTTATAATCACTATTTAAAATACAAGAAACCTAGAGCAAAACTTTTATCTTTTAAAAGTCAATATCTGAGAAATAGAAATGATAACAAAGTGACAAACATAAGTGGCACTTCATATACTAATTATTAAATACATCTAAGGTATTAACATTTCTAATGCTGGAACTCTATAGGAGACCTAGGGTATCTAAGTCAAAATAAATGCTGCATTACCAAAGGCCACTGGAAGTTCTGTCAGCATTTCTAGGCAAGATAACTAAGACTCCAAATAACTAAGATGTAGTAGTAACTTACACATATTAACATGAGAGAATATGCCCCACACTCTGAAAAGATCTAGTAACACTACATCAAAAGAAAGTGTCAGTTCAGGTTCATAGTTAACTTGTTTTCCATAAATATGCCAGCTAGGAAGTACAATTACGAAAAAGCATTAAGATAAAAAGCTCAAAATATTTTTGAGCTATTTTTATATTTGTGGGTGCTCCCCGGGCAGTGCTAAGATCGGACAAAGGGGAGTAAGTGGGAGGAGCATCAGGGATAGAACTCAGTGCCTTGCACATGCAACATGAGCGCTCTACCACCTGAATCACATTCTGTCACTGTCACTGTCCTCCCGTTGTTCATTGATTTGCTTGAGTGGGTCCAGTAACATCTCCATTGTGAGACTTCTTGTTACTGTGTTTGGTATATCAAATACGTCATGGGTAGCTTGCTAAAGAAAAATGAATACCTGATCTCCAGCTGTCTTCAACTACATGTTGAATAAGACCTCCTAGAAAAGGAACTCGAACCATTTCCAAATGTTCCAAGTTTCGGGCAGAGGCTAAGCCTGTTACTAAGGGGACATATTTCAAGGAGTTTGTGGGTCCTAGAATAAGAAAAACATAGTTTAATGAAAAAACACTGCTACAAAGGCAAAATTTCAACTCTACTTAAATGACTGACTTAAAAATTCTGTATCTAAAAAGGATAACTAAGTTATTGATTCTTTATAATTTTTATAAAGTATTGACATTTTTGGAAAAAAGATTTAAATTTTTTTTCTAAAATACTTTTAATATGCATATAAGTATTCACTATCCAGCTAATCACATACTTCATTACATATCCCTGGTGTGACCAGTGTCTGAAGATGACAGAAGACATCATCCTATCTATCAAAGTGTGTAGTTGACATGGAGGTAAAACACAATTATAAGCATAAGACGCAAAGGCAGACTATATCAAATATATTTTTAAAAGACTTGCCGTATTACATGGAAATTTAAGAGAAGACAAATATAAGTTGGAAGATACAGAACTTCAGAATATATCCTAGTATGGAGGAAGGGAGTGCATATCCCAGGACTGTAGCACTGTAGCACTGTCCTCCCGTTATTCATCGATTAGCTCGAGCGGGCCCAGTAACGTCTCCATCTTGAGACTTGTTGTTACTGTGTTTGGCATACTGAATACATCACGGGTAGCTTGCCAGGCTTTGCCGTGTGTGCAAGATACGCTCAGTAGCTAGCTGGGCTCTCCGAGACAAAAAAAAAAGGTAGAGATTAAGGTGAGACACTGAAGAGAAAACTGGTATGGTGTGTACAGTGATATAGTTCTTCAAAGTAAGTCATGAAGGTATCACAAAGGGCTTGGTTATTAGGGCCTTTGAAACCCCTCTGTAACTCTAGGACAAGCAAGACAAGATTTCTGAAGATTTCTGAACAAAAAAGCATTATCATAAAAGCACTGTTAAATGTAGACTAACCAGATAATCAGATAACTACTTATCTGCTTGATGATTAAGAGATTAGAGACTAAAACGGCACACAAATCAAAATATCCTATAAAAAGTTCCTAAAAGAAGGACATGACAGCAAATATTTCACTTGCAAATAAAGTTGCAAATAAAGTTGCCAAGTTTCTATTAGCATATTTTTAGTAAAGTCCATGTATAATCCCATTATACCTGCACAGTTTCTCATGACGAAAGTTCGCAAGCTGATACAAAGAAAGTCTTTGAAGGGCTGTGGTTTAGTGAGTCTTACCCACTTCATGTAAAGGTGCCTTAGCATTGGAATACAAGGAATTTCAGGAACATTCACTCCTAAAGCAAATACATATATAAAAAGAAATCACAAAAAAAGGTCTTCATTCTGTGTATAAATTCAAGTGTTTTTTTTTAAGTTGAAAATTTATCACTCATTGGCATTTTCAACAACAACAAAAAAATTACCCAAAATTCATTTACTAAATTCTACTTATTAAATTCTGGTTAAATAAACTAATTCTGTACAGTTGGCTTACTTACTTGTCAAAAACTAACCAAACCACAACAGGCACTTTAAAAAAGGGAAAGTGGTACATAAAAAATATTTTTGCATTTTATATACATCTTCTCATAATCCTACACAATTTCCACAATAAATTTTTACAGAATATTTAAACGAAGAAAGGTTATTGAATTCTAACCTGTGAAGATGTGGAAGGTATATAGAAAATTACCAGTTGCTAGGGTGACCAGGCAGTGCCCATTGCCTCATCAGTGAAACACCTTTATTTCTAAAATCTATAGTTCTAAAGTGACTGTAGTTAACTTGGTTCTAGATATCCAGAGAAAGAGACAGATTATTTCTACAAATGTATAAATCACCAAGATTTGTGAAAGTATCATAACAGTCAGTTAACATGACTGAGAAAAGTGAGAAATTGGTCAATCATTTCAATATTCATATTGAAGTTATTTTATTCTTTGACCCATAGGGAATCATACATATAGAAAACCACATCTCAGAGAGAGGGAATGTACGGTTTGAGGAAAAGTCAGGATTTGTGAAGAAGTATGATAGGTAAGTACAGTCAAGTGAATGGAAGGAAGCAGCTTAAGGAATTTTCTCAAATCTAAACATTGTAAATTAGAAAAGGAAAGATAGTCTCTAAAGAAAAAAATGTAAAGGATTTAGGGTGATGGCTTTCAATGGCTGTAGCTAGCAAACCCTCAGTTTAAATCTGTTTAATGTAACATTTTAAACTCAAGGTAGCAAGAAGGCCTGTTAGCAACAGTAATCAGAGAAAGAAAAATCAGATTACTTGCACATTTGTTTCTTTGCATAATGTATCTACTATCAGGATACAGATTTGACCTGATTCTATCCTCCACCCCCCAGTTCCAAAATTTAACTTTTTTGAGGGCCACAACCAGCGGTGCTCAGGGTTTACTCCTGGTTCTGTGCGCAGTGATCTCTCCTTGTAGGGGGACCATATTGGGTACCAGAGAGCAAACCTGGGTTGGCTGCATGCAAGGCAAATGCCCTTTCTGCTATGCTATCTATCCGGCCATCCCAAAACAGTAACTTTGAACTATTCATCCATACTATGCTGTATCAGAAGGGAAGTAAAATTGGGAACAAGTATAAAGAAAGAGAGGCAGAAGACAGTTACTTCTATGCTCAATTCACATTTTGATTGAAATCCATCACATAAACTAAGGATACACCTGGCTCATTAATTTACCATATTCCATCACCTAAATCAAACAAATTAAAGCATTTGAATAAAGTTTACTATGTACAGATATTTACAATGATCTGTGACAGACACTAGAGACAATAAAGACAGAGTTACTGATTTTGTTTTGAGGCCACAACTGGTTGGACTCAGGGACCACTCCTGGAGCTGTACAAGAAACACTATGTAGTGCTGGCTGGGAATTGTACTGGTATAGCTGCATGCAATGTAAGTGCCTTAACGCAGACCTGTATTTTTGGTACCAGTCATTACTTTATGGAGTTTGTATTACAAAATTCAGAGAGCACAGAGTATCTTTATTATCTAGATATCAAATCTCGAACAAGCTCCTTTATCAGAACCATTTCTTGGTCTTGTAAATTAATTAACGCTCCAGGCTTTTTACTCTCTAGTACTCCATAACTCTACACAGAAGTCTTATTTAAGTAACAATATTTCTTATCATTCCCGCTGCCCTCCTTTATGAAACCTCCTGATTCAGTTTCACAAATTTTCAGTTCTTTGCAACTATCTCCACAATGAGTAAGTTATTCAGATGCACAGTATGTAGATTATAACATAATTAAATTTTTAAAAATAATGTGAGTAAAATAATAAAAATATAGAACATTTCCATTACCATAGAAAGTGGTACTGGAGAACTCTAGAGGGTAGAACCAAAGGTGGATTTTTCTAGAACAAGAAGTTTTCCAACTCAATGGAAACAAACAATAAGGACACCTACCCCCAACTCTGTAGCTTTCAGAACTAAAAATTGGTCAAAAAAGAAATAGGTTGGGGCTGGAGAGACAGTACAGTGGGTAGGACGCTTGTCTAGCCAGGTTTGATCAGCATTCTGTATGATCCTGAGTCAAGAGTAATCTCTGAGGACAGAGCCAAAGTAAGAGCTGAGTAACATCAGGTATGGTCCAAAAGCCAAGGGGAGGGAAAGGCGGGGGCAGAAAGAAAAGAAACAGCTTTGTTGAGGTTGTGAAGCAGTATCTCCCCCACCCCACATTCATCCCCAGAACCCTTAACTTGTGTGTGGGGGGAATCAATCTATAAAATCACTTCTAAAATTCATTCTATTCCCTTTCAGTGAATATTAAATTCGAGGTGTCACAAGCAACCCAAAAAACATGTACTCACCAACTAAATGTAAAGTTTGAATTTTGGCTCCTATAGGGATTTTCAGTTTATTTTCAGGGGGAATTGGAAATGCTCCATTACGATTACGAAATTTCCCCAAAATATGAACATGTGGCATGTATGTCCAAATGGATTCTACCAATTCCAAATGAGATGTTTCCACACCCTAGAAAATTATACCAAAGGCAGCATAAGAAAAGTTTTAAATTTAGCATCCAAAGTTTCTGTTTCTATAAGATGCTAAGTAATTAATGGAATAAGTAAGCTTCTTATGGATGAACAGGCATTTTCTATCATCCTTTTGATTTGTTTGAGATCACTTAGTTGATGTCGGGTATGCTCACCACTAGGTTTGGGCATGCCTGCAGAGCTTCCAGAACTCCTGGAATGCTAAAAGCCTCATGGCCCCGCACTCTTCGTCTCTCAAGATATCTAGGGTGAAGGCCATACAGCTGCTCAACATCTGGCATCTTTTTCAATAGTGTTAGAAAACTGGAATCTGTGAAGCCTGAAATCAAAAGTATTGAAAGTCATGTTACTAAGCACTTATAATTTTTATCAAAAGTTAAAGTTTCCTTTTTAAATTCTCAAAAGGCTAATGTGACAACTTAGACAAATGGTTACAACTGAACACACAATCTTTTAGCAACAGAGAAAAGAGTGTCAGAAACTATTACTTTTGAGTTAATTTCTTTAGAGCAGGGAGTTTATCACTGCTTTTTTGTTGTTGCTACTACTACTGTAGGCATTGAAATTCTCAAATGTTAACAATCTTTGCAACCCATTTAATTTGGGACTGCCCCACCTTGTGAATAAAGGACTTCCTACCTGATCTACACAACTGTCCCTCTCACACAAAGATCTGATCCCTAAAACACTAGAGTTCTGCAGAGAATAATACTCAGGAAATGAGTAAAAGATTATCCTTGTCTACATGAACCTTACTGTCACAAGCTAAGTACCATTTCATATGGGTTCCTTTAGTCTATCTCTATCCATTTCCTAATAATGACTCTGCCCGTTCTTATTGTTTCTTGGACATTACAGACAATTCCTTCTTTTGAAAAAGAAAGATGCACACCAGTTAAGAAAACATAAATGATCCAAATTCAGAGGCCATGTGCTGACTGAAAACGATCTAGGTCAGCAATGCTCCACAGTACCAATTAATCAGAAGGAACCAGAGAGACAGGGACTTCCCTAGCCACAGATGTTAGTGTGATATGTTGGAGACAAATCTGTACATACGATACTTTATTATTTGGGTTTTTTTTTTAATTTTTAATTGAGGCGGTTATAGAAAGTAAGCAGAAACATTAATTCAAGGATATAAAATGAAGCTCAAAATCATTATACTATATATACACATAAATACACATAGCTAAGGTTTTCAGAAGTTGTTCAATTTTTACAGGGTCAGTTCTGGTTATATGTTCAACTTTAGAATCTGCATAAGTGAAGAGAAAGAGGAACCTCAAAGACTCATTTGTTACTCTGAAGTTTTACCTTCTTTCTGGAAAAAGCATGAAAATCCAAAGTGATCCTGGTATAAATCATACAGTATTGCACACACATAAGCCTTACTTAACCTTTATTAGATAGCAGGAATAGGGAACTTTTTCTCTGCACAGGGCTATTTGGATATGTATAAAGTCATTTGCAAGCCACACAATACAGATGGGCAGAGGCAGCTTAAGAAAAAGTGGTTATCTATCTGTCCCATCGTGTACCTGGGCCAGATCACACGATTTTGAAAACCCTGTATGTCCCATATGCTGGACATTCCCCACCTCTGCTACGTAAAGAATGACTGTAGAGAAGTGCAGATTCTTCTCTAATTTGGTGAGGGATGGAGATATTAAACTACATCATGTGGGAGTTCTGTTAATCTGCCTCTTTATTAATACTAGTTTCTGTAGTAGAGCAGCTTTACAAAAACAAGTGTGTGTTTACCAAGAGAATACCATTATGGGGTACTGGAAAATTATAAAAACCTGCATTGCAGAAGGAAGGACTCCTTGTCTAATGTGTTAAAGACATTTAAACAGCATGTATTCTACACTCAAACTATGAAACAGGCTGATGAACTTCCTTAGGAAGTAGAAGAAATAAAAAATAGACCTTCAAGGCAGTGTAAAACCTCAGGCTAAATTTTGATCAAATCTATAAACCATCTGAATTAAGTTAAACAAAACTCTTCCTTCCCAACCTACAAGATTAAGAATGCCTTTCTCAAACTGGATGGGAATATTTTTCATTTCCACTAGGGCTCCACTGAATCTAACAAGCTAAATATACTTACCACTTGGCATGTATTCCCACCACCGCCCTGCACAGAGATCCACAACCCTCACAACTCTGAGATACAAGGTCACTGCTTCTTTTAGCTTCCGGGATAAACATTCCATACACATAATATCCTGCAGAGGGAGGTACCTTTGTGAGAGAAAGAAACTCATATTTAAAGTGGGCAAGAGTGTCCTCTGATAAGTTTTTTTCCTTCCTCATTCTCCCACCCCTAAAATGAAATACAACCACAAGAATATTTAAGAGATGTTAAGGTTAACTTGCATACAGGAGTTTTTTGTTCATTTTACTAAAATCAGAAGTCAGAAAAATGCTAAGTAGTCAAAGATAAATTAAAAAAGTATATGTACATTTTAGTGTCTTTCAATCACTAATAGTGATCCCTAGAAATTTCCTGCTGTAACACAAAAAACTTACTGCCGCTTAACAATAATGTGCCTGGATAAAAATTTACTTTATTAGATTTTAAAATGAATACACAAAATACTATCATAATAATGTTGTTTAATTTTTTTTTCTGCAAATTATTTCCCCCTATTTTAGCAAAAAAGCAGCAAAAAAAGAGTGAAAAAGCACGGCTTTGGAGTATTTGGAATATATAATTTTCTTCCAAGATCTTTTCTCTTAGGGCACCCTCTCTGATCAAATTATTACCTAAGTTTTTAAGTAAGAACACACCATCTGAGCACAATTTCCCCTTTTTCAACTTCTCCAGTTAGCCCGTCCTAAATTTTTCCAACTACTTTTTTTCTGCTTCTGTTTTTTTTATGTAACATCTATATTTGAAAGATCACAAACATTCTTTTTCTTTCTCCAAACACCCTTTCCTGGTATACCTAGATTAATGATAATGGTGATGATGATACTAATAGGTAAAAGCTACCCCTTATCCAGCTATCATTACATAACTCTTTTATAATCTTACATGTAGATCTCTGCGACACAATCTGTCCCTAATTCTCCTTTTCTCTTCTATGCTCAATCTAACCCTCTGGCTCTCAGCAAAAGTTGTACAATAGAAAAGCACTGCTACAAACTTTCAATTACTGTGGCCCTTGTTGAGTGTGTCAACATCTCTTTCTGGTTCTCTTAAAACCTACCTCCAATTGTCTAAACAGTCCCTTCATTGTGTTATCTATCTTAAAGTATCAAACCACTATTTCTCATTTTGTACTAGAAGTCTCTCTGAAGCAGTGCTGTTATAACGCTTATTTTACGAGAAAAGCTGGCTCCACAAAGCTAACCACTTTGCAAAAACTCAACATCTAGGTACGAGATCAACACAGAGTGACTCCTGATTCCATAAACTATGCTAATTCTAAAAAGCAAAGTCTAGGTTGTCTGTTAAGCGTTTCTTTGTTTCATTTTTTTTAACCTTTGGTTCCTTTCCCTTCCTTTAAGAGTAACTACAGAAAACAAATAAAACTTTGCACACAAAGTATTAAATTGTTAATTTATAGTCTCTAAACACTGGACACTCCAGTGGGATAATTTTCAGGAATGATAATATACACAAAATGTAATTTTAAAAAAGACTATTTCTAAATTAAGCTTTGTCACTAACAGTTTTATAAAATTCCTCCAAACTATATTCCTAAGTTAACAGTGGACTCCCTTTATTTTCGTTTTACTCTGTTTGGATAACTTTGGGTGCCACACTGGCAGTGCTCAGCGTTTACTCCTGGCTCTCTGTTCAGGGATCACTCTTGGAAGAGCTTCGGGGATCATATAAGTGCTAAGAACTGAACCCAGGTAGGTTAAGTACAAGGCAAGTAAGTACCCTGCCCGCTGTTATCTCTAGCCCCTATTTAACAAGACTCTTGTTTCAATTACATGTGAGTACATGTCAGTCAAAAAGGTCAGAAATGTGGTCTTGTGTTACATGTATAAAGCACTATGATTAAAAAAAAGAAAACAAATCTATCAATTAATAAGAACTGGAATGTTAAGAGTCAGAATTCTCTGCGACCAAAAATGTACTCTAATTTTAACAGCTAGGAAGTTAGGAATGGGATTTAAATTTAACTTAATTTAAATGAAGTTGCCAAATACAGCTATTGGGCAACACAACTTCTAGGTAAATGAAAAAGTATCAAACTTACCTAAAAATATGGCAAAGCACTTCATGTGAAAGTTGATTCATATAGTCCTTTGTTTCATCTGGTATGGTTTCATCAAGGATTTCATTACTCATGAGACATGTTTTAACAATTTTCTTTCTTGGACCCATTTTTGCGTTACACCAGTATAAAAAAACAAATTTCAAATCTTCCCTCTTGGTTGGTTACTTGACTTCAATGAACCTGAAAGCAAGAGAATAGAAGGCTAAAGCAAACCAAACACAGATGAAAAACATATCCTATAAAACCTACGTAAAGCAAAGCTTTATTATTTATTTTTAAGGAATGCGTCATAAATCTGCATATTATCCCTGTGAAAGGGCCATGCTAATTCTCTAAATCACTCCAATTTCACTATTTGTGCCACCAGAGAGAGTCCGGCAATGCTTATTTTAAAATACAAGAGTACAGACTACATTCAAATTAACAAACATTAGACAAAAGGCACAGACTGTCTTTTTTCTGAAGATAGTAAGAAATATAAAAATGCATTACGAATAGCAAAAATATCCAGAAATCAGGAGTCCTAGATTCTAAGTTTTATTTTACTGCTTTTCAGCTTTACTCAATTTCTCCATTTAAGGTTATTAAGTCAGATTAACAAAACCTGTCCAATCCCAGAAGCATCTGATTCTAGGATTGCCCCAATATAGATGACTTTTTTGGCTTCTAGTCTTGTAACTACCAGAAACTATATTTATTAATTTGAGTCACCTTTTCAAATCTTCATTTCCTAACCTGGATGATAAAATAATTCCAAGTACTTTTTTCACTTATTACACTTCTACATATTTATCTGTCATATCTTAACTATTTCTTAACTTAAAATTTTGAGAGCCTGGAGCACTAGTACAGCAGATAGGGCACTTGCTTTGCACATGGCCAAGCTTCGTTCAAGACCCTCAGCATCTAAGCACACAACCAGATGTCAGCCCTTGAGCATCACCAGGTTCCCCCTCCCAATAATAGAGTTGAGATCAGCTGCTTTAAGTATTTTGGAAAATACAAAGATTTATAATGTGAGGGGGGTTTCCATAAAGGCACAGAGTTCCTTCTGATTTCTGTTTAATAAGAAAGCTAAAGAGCTTTGCACTCATGTTTCAAGATGTTTCAGTAATTCCAAAGATGGCTGATATGTAACCTTGAGAATATACTGGATAGAAAACTTAAAATTGTAATCTAGGTTCGTTATAGATTAATTTTATGAACTTTATAGAGCACTCCAATTTAAGTGGTCCAGTTCAGTATAAACTTATGAAATAACCACACACTCTTAGAATTAAGAAAGCTCTAAAAATCATCCCTTAAAAAGAATTTTTAAAAAAGTTCAAATATATAAAAATGTATCTGCTGAATAAACTCTCCCACAAACATAAAGTGCCTCCCTTTCCCAAACAAACATTTATTTTCCCTACTGTAGTTAATTGGATTCCCATACTAGACACTCGGAAGTCATACTCAATATATTAAGATCTTTCACCCTTTGGAAAGACTTAATGAAATCTTGCCAAATTAATCTACAGGACTGTTCTTACAACCATGTCTACTCTTCTGATTTTCTGTAATGGCTTCCTAAATATCTACATAATTCTACTCTGCAGTCTACATTCCAGTACAGTAAGGCCTGGAAAATGGTCAACCACAGAGCAGGCTCATAATGAATTTACTGAAAAACCTGCTTAACATACACTCCACACTGAAGTTAAAAATTATCTTTTTCAACATTTCTCTATGAATTATACAAAAAATGTAGAGCATGTCTAAAGCATTACAATTTGCATAAAAGAAAACTGTCACGTGCTGTGCTTGTTTGGGGCATTTGAGAAGAATCCATGAAAAAAATGTGAAAATGGTTGCCTCTTGGCACTGAGGAAAGGTGTAGGAAAGAGACTTGGACTTTCCATATTCTGGTCTCTGCCTGAAAACTTTAGATGACTGTTGCCCAAAGTAGGGGCTTGCAGCCCAGGGGCTGAGGTGAGTTGCTGCAAAGATTCAGGTTGGCAGCAGCAGCCTCAAGTATACTGGGGAGTGGTGAGTGATTTTTTTTTTTCTGAAAAGGGGACAATAGGTTAAATACGTTTTGGCTGATCAATTATATTAGAAAACAAGCAAAGACAAGCCTACAAGAACTGTTTCCAAAAGGGACTCCCCCCCCCCCCCCCATTTTTCCTTGGAAGGACAAATTTTTCCAATTTATCTTCTGGAAACAGTCTAAAATCACCTTTCCAGTATCTGCTTTCAATCCATACCACTTTCCTCAGCATACTGACTCCAGCTGCACCCAAATCCTCAACTCCCCCTAACGAATGCTGAATGCTGACCATTCATTCCTATTTTGCTATTAACTTGACAAGAATGTTCTATTTCTTCCCTTCATTTTCATTTTTCTGTTGTTTCGTTTGGGGGCAATACGCGACAGTGCTCACTTCTGGAGGGTTTAGGAACCTATGGGGTGCAAGGGATTGAACCTGGGACAACCACGTGCAAGGCAAACATCCCCCCTGCTGTACTTTCTCTCCTGCACTTCTTTTCTCTTGTTTTTGACTAGAAAACCATCTACCTTCAAAATTTGGCTTAAATATTAAATCATCTGTTAAAGCTTCTGATTATCCACCTTTTCAATCTTCTGAGGCTTTAATAATAATTTTTTTTACTCTAGCAACCTGTATCTCCTGCTCTACATGTTAAGTCCCTCCATGTTAAGTCCCTTGCTCCTAATAAATTCTCAAATATCTAATACATGAATTTTTGATCAATCTCTCCTTTATCCCATATGCATTCAATTGTTTCAAGGCTACTCAGCACCAATTTCACACTCCTATAAATTCTGTTTGCTACCAAAGTACTCAATGATCTCATTGACATGTGTAACCCCCAATGATCTCATCAACATGTGTGTAATACAGCAAAAATGTAATTAGCTTTTACTCCAATAAAGATGCACAATAAATAGCTACAATATAGCATATGAATTCCTAAATCAGGCACAGATCAATCCATGGATTATTCTAATATTCTGACTTAATCTCCAGCACAGGACTTACTTTTAGAATCTTCACAATTTGTATCCTTCAAGAATATCATGATCCTTACTTTTTTGTACTTATATATCAAACTCTGGTTTAAACTTCTCACTATCCATAACATCATCTTCAAATTCTGGCTTCTATCATTCATTCTTATTTTGTAATATTATACTTTTGTGTAAGTTAGATTTAAGAGCCGTCAAGCACACCTTACAGGCCAACATTGTACATAGGTTAGGTCTGCAGCACCACAAAATCCACTTAGTCTATCATGTGCATAAACTCTACCTACCAAAGGCTAAAATTTAGGTAAAAGATACTATATATACATATATATATGAACATATATATATATTTATTTCCCATATCTTGCCTAAAATTGAAAACACATTCTTGTAGCTACCTACTCCTAGCAGGTTTAATAGTAACTCCTTACTCTAAGTCTTCTGTGGGAAGAACCATGTAAAGATGAACATGCGGTTCAAGATATGACCTCCACCCTACACTGAGGGGTGTAACAGATCAGGGCCTTTAGCCAGATGAAATCTACCAGGCTTCTCCAAGTCAAGTGTCCCTGAAAACGTTCAGTAGGTAAATAGCTGCCCCACTAACAGACTCATTAATTATTCCTTACCAACACACAAACTCTACAAGAACAATAACATCGCTTCAATTCCACTGACATGAAAGAGCATTTCAAACAGAGTCACAGAGGTCTAATACCCATCTGACTAGAAAACACCATGCATGCAAAAGTACCAAGTGATGATGCTATCTCTTCTATGTGTGCACTATTTCTTCATCTTTCTTTCAGTGACGTGAGCGATAATAATGAGAATAAAACACTGCAATGACCACTCATATCCTGGTTTCTTTTATTTCCACCCCTATATGAAACCTATTTGCAACTTAAACAGCTCCGAACGGCAGGGAAGGTCCAAAGACCTGAGAAGGACAATACAGAAAAAGAAAAGGAAAGCTCTTCCAGAGGCACTTCAGAATGTCTAACAAAGGAGGCAAGGGTGGTGAGGGACAAGCAAGTGTTAAGTAACAAGAAAGCTTAAATTATTTGAAGACTATAATGTTATTTCTAGTGCTATTTTTAGAATTAGTCAGTTCTGGTGCTCGGTCTTTGAGTATCAAAGAAATGCTCTTCAGACAGAATTAAAGATTCTGCAAATGTTGATAAAAGTCTGAGGATCCTGAGAGAATATCCAACCACATAGCACTTAATTTTTTATGGGCCACATATATATCTGAGACTACAATAAAGACTTGCACATTTTCTCCCTAAGAGAAAAGCAAACTATACCTGAATCATGTAATGCTGAATTACCTACACAATTTCAAGGCCTTCGAAATATACCAAAGCTCACCCAGAGGTCTGTATCCAAGACTGGCTCCTTCAATTTTCAGACTGTCTGCTGGAAGTGTTGCTCAAGGGCACATATTAAGTACTAGGGGCTCAGCCAGAAGTCAGACTACCAGTCTGTACCACAAACCCCACCATCAAGTCAGTCCTCCTCACTGCAACTGCCTCCTTGCATTTCAAAGGTACACCACAGTGTTCAGAGAAGGGTTCTGGATATTCTTGATAAAAGTGCTGCAGACTACACCCTCTTTCACAAATAAGGCCTTTTGGCACATCCAATACAGACTTCCTTTAGTAGCCTAATCTCAGCTCTGGGTATTCCACAATCTTTCTGTGGCTATTCTTAAGCCTCCCATTCTAAGTCTAGGAGTTTTGTTAAGTTTTGTTTTTGTTTTTTTGTTTGTTTTTTTGTTTTTGCTAAAATAGTGTATCTCTCTAAGCATATAGAAAACTAAAGCCATATTAGTCACAGGAAACATGATTTTTTTTCTGGCAGCCCCAAGTGCATTTTGAATCATAATGCTTGAGTTTGCCTCATGAGCCTTCTTTAAGCCAGGGTCTTCTCACAACAGCCTCTTAGGGACCCCTTTTCTTCCAATAGGTGACATCAAATCTCCTACTTTGAATAGAACTACACTATCACCTGGTTGTTCTCAACTTCATTCTGGTTGCTCCCAAATTTATATTCTAATTAAAAAAAATTTGGGGGGGGGCACATCTGGTGGTGATCATGATTACTACTCTTGGTGGGGCTTGGGAACCATATGGGGAGCTGGAAGGACTGTGAACCTGTGTCAGTAGCATGCAAGGCAAGCATCCTACCCACTGCCCAAGCCCAATTCTCTTCATTTCTAATCCTTAACCCTTATGGTTACCTCTACTTCTTAACAAGAAAGTGCCAACAATTCCTTGCTTGCAAAATCAAGTTATTTTCCTTTAAATCATCTATTTAAAACTTCAAGCTACAGTTTCTATTATGAACCTACTCTTTCAGTCCTTCAATGTGTCACAATCAAAAGACATCCTCAACCTGTTCTATCTTGTCAATAACATGCACCTCTGCCTAATTTATTCTACAAATTACTCAGGTCACACTTACTTTTCCAGGGTATCTGTCTCTAATGAACACACAACTCACAGCAGAGATAAACCAACATAGTTTGCAACAGACAAGAAAACTTAGAAAACTCTTTAATTAGATTTGCAAAATTCTTAATTTCCCATTCTGTCTGCAATTCTGAGCATTTCTTTAGAAAAACTTCATCCATCCCCACACCCAATAACTGTCCATGAAGAACTTGGTGGTGAGACTTACAATCTCAGAGTGGAGACAGATTCCAACTACTAGGTGCCAACAACCTCAGTGATTTCAATTCACAATAATTTACTTGTCATTATACTAACCCAAAACACCTCTCTGCCCTTTAAAATCTGCCAATGTCCTCAGCCATTCTATCTGGGCAGAGGCTATTGTGTTCGGGTTTCTAGTACTTGTTCTTTTAGAACTTACTGGCATCACTTTGCTTGTTTTCAAGTAACCTTACATGTCACTTACTGCTCAAACGGAAAACAAAAACCAAGAATTACAGGGCTGACAGGATTCTGGAATCAGAGTTCAACCCTTCATCTTTCAGTTAGAGAAACTGAGGACCAGACAGGAAAGTCAGTTTATCCAAAGCTGGAGAGACAGAAAGTGCCTGTAATGAAGCAAGGGCCGAGTGGTGTTCAAGTCTAATTTCATCCCATTGGATCACTTTATTTTAATAAAATCTAGATTTTCATTTCTCCCATTCTAAACCTTAGCAACTTTACTTTTTTTACTAAAGTAGCTCACGCACATAGTAAATTTGCACACACACACACACACACACACACACACACACACACACACACACCCCTTAACCTAAAAGAACATTAGAATCATAGCAATAACACACTTGCTATGGTAAGAGGAAAGGTGCCTTAGGGACCACCTAACTGGTTCATTGCCAAGGAAAGCCAAAAATTGCAAAGGCAGATTTTCCATTCTACAGGATCATGCAGTTACCGTGCACCCTCCAGACCCGAATCTTTTATCCCCTCCCTCTGAAAAATCATATCCTCAACAGAACCACCATTCTATCCTTCAGCTAGGAGGATGAAAAGGGTGATAACGAGGCAATGACCTACTCTAACACGTTCATTAGACAGGTGAGAAAGCTCTGCCCAGTGACCCAGCAAGTTAATAGCAGCTCTAGGACAAACGAACATAAAAGCGCCTCTTTTTTTTTTTTTTAAAGGGGCTGTGTTTTACAGCAACACAGCAATTTACATAACAAAGTCTTCAGGCTCCAGCGTCTCACGGCCCCGGAAGCACGGGCACCTTCCCGAGTGCCCAGCTGCCCTTGGGCAGAGTGCTGCCGGGGAAGGCCACGCGCTGATGCGGGTCCGCTGGTGACTCCGAGGCCCACGGCGGCCCACGCCCGCCCGCTCGCGGCCGTCTCCGAGGGAAGACTCCGGGAAAGCGGGCGGGGAGGCCGATCTGCGGCGCTGGCCGGGGGGAGGCGGGGGACGCCCCCAGCATCCCGCACACCCTAGCACAGACACGTCGACTGGGCAAGGTCAGCGGGAGGGTCCGTGGGCGAGGCCGGGCGTCCGGGCTGGGCTGCCCCGTGAGGGATGCGGGTGTTCACCGCGTCGCCAGGGGCATCCCCGCAGGACGCCGACCACAGTGGCCGGTCCAGTTTACCCAGCCAAACCCTGACAACACCAAGATGTGGAATTCGAGAGGTGCGGCGTGCCCTAGGGGGGTGCCCCGACCTTCCCCCTCCGCTCGGCCGCCGCTTCTCCGGGCCCAAAATCTTGGGTCAGGTTCAAAGGAGGTGGCGGAGCCACAAGCAGGGCCTAGAAGGCCAAGAGCCACAAACCTCGATCCTCCGCGGCCCGAAGGGAGCGCGACACGCAGGCGGCGGGAAGCCCGGAGGTCCCATCCGGCCGCCCGCACCCCTCCCGCGGCGCCCGGCTCCTGCGACCCGCCCCCGGACCCCAGTCTCACCTCGGCCGGCCCTCCGTCTGTTATTGTGGTTGAGAGGGAGGGAGGAACGCCACCGACGCTTCCCGCGGCCCCCCTCCGCCGCACTTCCGCTTCCGCCGTCGCCGAGGCATTTCCGGAATGGACTCATCCGGGGCGGAGTTGCAGTCCGAATCCATCTTGGGTGTGGAACCTAAGCGGCGAGGCTCGGCAGCCATATTGAGTGTGGCGCGTAAGGGCGGTCAGCCCGGTCCTTCTAAGTAATAATTGAAGGATTGTTCGCTTTATCCTTGGAGCTAATCTCAGCTGAGAATTTTAATGCAGAACCTTTTAAAGAAAAAAAATTCTTTTTCAGCCATTATAAGTGAAAAGTTGTATTTAGTGGTCAGCAATGCAGGCTTTAGATCCAGAAAGATCTGGTTAGTTAAGAGTTTCTCTACTTATTGCCAGAGAAGAGCACTCAACAAAGACTTAGGATTGTCATGTGAAAATGAACATCTTGAAAAATATTTTCATACCAACCACACAATATATTGGCTTAACACAATTTGTTGGGCTGGAGCGATAGCACAGCGGTTAAGGCATTTGCCTTGCACGCGGCCAACATGGCCAACCTGGGTTTGATTCCTCCACCCCTCTCCGAGAGCCCGGCAAGCTACCGAGAGTATCTCTCCAGCACAGCAAAGCCTGGCAAGCTACCCATGATGTAATCAATATGCCAAACACAGTAAGAAAAAGTCTCAAAAAATGGAGATGTTACTGGGCCCGCTAGAGCAAATCGATGAAAAATGGGAGGAAGTGTTTATTTTTTATTTAACACGATTTGTTATATTCTTTTGTGATATTGTGTACTCAGCTGGGCTCTTTGAGCTTAGAGTTCTATGGAGCATCTAGTTGGCTGTCAGTTGAAGTGATTTCTAGCTCAAACTGATTTACAACATTGATACTCTAGGCCTGTATATTCATAAAACGAGTAAGAAGCCAGAGGCTCTCTCTTCGTGCCTACATTTAGTGGTCTTGGGCCACTTCCCCATCCTGGTCAGCCGATGCCATGGGCCCACAAAGGTGGTAGAGGGCCAGTATGGTTGGTGATCAGTTGCTGTTTATTTCTTACTCCCTACTTGACTGTTCCAGTCTCACTAAGCTCCCCATTACAATCTCATCCTGCCCCTCATTCCCATCTCCTCCTTTCTCCCATGCTATTTCTCTGTCCACCAATTTGCTGTTCTGGTCTCTTCAGTCTCTCACTGCTTCCCAACCTTGGCCATAGTAACCACACCTAGGTCTGGTAGCACAATCAGCATATGAAAGTCCTTCCTGGTTTCCTGCAACCAGGAGATTCTGCTCAAAGGCAAAATACCACCTAGAGTGTGATTCTCTTTTCCTTAGTCCAACAGTCATTTAAACATTCATGTTAGGGCTGGAACTATAGTACAGCGATTAGGGAGTTTGCCTTGCACCCAGCGGACCTGGGTTTGATTCCCAGCATCCCATAGGGTCCCCCAGGAGTACCACCAGGAGTAATTACTGAGTGCAAAATCAGGAGTAACCCCTATACATTGCGGGATGTGACCCCAAAAAAAGCAAAATAAATAAAATAATATTAGTCATTGTGTATGGACACAGTAAGTGATACATTAAGCTCTCCTGGGAGCATCTCGCTATAGATCTCAGACTACAGTGCTCAGGTCTTTCCTAACCCTAGCAGAGTCCTAATCCACTTGTTACTTTTTGGATCATGGCAGAATTTGTTCATGACCATGCTCTTAATTTATAGTTAAGTATTATGGTGCTTTGGCCTGGCCCATTTCAATACCAGGGTAGCTCACTGCTTGCCTTCATCAGGACCCTGCTTTTCAGGTGCTAGGAAATAAGGGCAACTGAAGATTAAGTCTAGAAAACATGCCTAAGAGTGAATATTATTCAAAGTCAATTAACTTCCCAAGTTTCAAAAGCATAGCATTAACTGTCTTCCTGTGTCCATACAAAAAGGACATTGCTTTGAAGTAATTATGCAAAGGACATAAGGAGAAGAGAAAAGCAGTATTTATAAATTAACCGAGTCTGATTAGGAGATAAAGGTGATTGACCAGTAGGGGAAGCAGAGCACAAAGAAAGAGGTTACAGATAAACACAGAAGAATGGGAGAGTCTCGGGAGCACTGTGATGGGAGTAAACTAATAAACTTAAGTTCCCTGTGGCAAGGCAGAAAGGACAGACCAATGTTATCCTCCATAGGCCCAGCTGACATGACCTTTTGCTCAGTTTGGAGTTTCTCAGAACAAAGAAATTGAGTTCTGAAAGGGAGCTCAGGCATAGAGAACTTATAGAGCAAACTGTTCAAGGAGGATTTATCATCTAACATAATAATTCTGGAAACCACTTTCTGTTACATTTTCCTGAGGAAGCTGCAAAGCCAGCGCAGAGTTAAAGAAAGAACAGTATGTTATCTGAAGAAATAGGCTGAGACCATCTGTAATTTTAGCACACTAGCCCATTTGTTTGTCTTGCATTTGTTGGGATGTATGTAGATTTTATCAGCACAAGTATCTAGAAGGAGGGCAAGGGACCCCACCAATACAAGTCGTGCCGAATCTTGAATTAATCACATGAATTATTATTTACGTGATTTTTAAAATTAGGGTAAAAATACACATAACATTTATCATTTAACTTGCTATTTAGATTTTTTTATAGCAGCACACTTGATGAGTCCGGCCAGGTGATACTAGGAGCCACCAGTTGGTGCTGGGAGAGATGCATGTAGTGCCAGGAATTAAATCTGGGATTTTTCAGGTGCTACTACTTGAACTCTCTTCTAGGCCCCTTATAGACATTTTAAAATATACAATTCACCAGCAGTAAGTACATTCACGTTGCTTTTCAACTATACCACCATCTACCTCCAGGATTTTTAAATCTCAAATTGAAACAGTTCCTATTCATCCCTCCCCATCATTTGCATTTCTACTTCTGTCTCTATGTACCTCCTGCATAAGTGGAATCATAAAATATTGTTTATTTTGTATTTAGATTCTTTGATGCAACTTAATATCTTAAAGTTTCATCCACATTGTATCACGTGTCAGAATTTCCTTCCTTTTAGAGGCTGAATTCTACTATAGATGTACATTTACATTTATATAAACATGTTATATATACATTATTTGATTGTATATATGTATACATCCTTACATTGTGCATATCTAATCACATTTTTGTCCATTTGTCAATTAATGGGCATTTGGATTGCTTTCACCTCTTGTCTATTGGAGTAATATTTCAGTGAACTTGAGAGTAGAAATATGTTTTCTATTCCTTTGGATAAGGAAGCACAAGTGGAATTACTGAATCCTATGCCATTCTTGCAAAACTTTTCAGTATCAAATGCACCATTGCTATTCTTGCCAATAGTGCAAAAGAGTTCCAATTTCTCATTCTTATTTAGATTAATTTTTATGAGATGATATTTATAACTCATTAGACGAATGTCTGGCATAGAGTAAAAACTCCACAATGGTTGCTGATATTTAATTGGTCAGATGCCTCTTTTCTTTCCTTCTCAGCTACTATTGAGTTGGAAAAGCCTAAGCATTTAGCACATGGTATTTCTGAAGTTCAGTTTCAGAGCATTCTAAATTTTCTCATTTCATAACAAAAATCTACAGAAAGATAACATAAAGAATCTCAGTTGCAAAATCAAATACAGGGTGTTAAGGAAGGGCAATAGCAACAATAAAAAAGACAGCCTGGATAGAAAGGTTTTTTATAAAGATCATTTCTGAGCAAGAACTAAAGTAACAAGGTCATTGCTTTTCATCTTCAATATGCACCATTCTGCATAGAATTAAGTGTAAGAGATGAGAAAGTGGAAAAGTAAAGGGTGAAATTTTGGAAACTTGATGAGTTTTCTTTCTAATAATTAACCCTATTAGTATCGTTCTTTTATCCCAATTTCTGGGAGGATGAGAGCAAACAAGGCATTCTTTAGAAAAGAAATTGTTTGAAATACCAAGAACTGTGGTTTATTAAGATTGATTTACTGTGAGTTATTCATTTACATGATCATGTGGAATCTGGATATGTAAGACACTTGTACTGTAGAGATGACTGCAAAAGTCTCTGTTCTCAGACTGGAAGACATCATTAACAAAGAAGAGAGAGTTGGGAGATATTGGCAAGGTGGGAACTCAGGATGCCTGGAGCAGCCAGCAGGCAAGGAAGGCCTTTTGCAACCACTCTAAAATAATCACAATCACTCTCACTAGTTCTCTTTCCCCTCCCAATGGGTTTCTGCATCACTACTTATTTTTCTGTCTCATCCTGGCTTTAGTCTCTTCCTCTCATTTTTTTAAATTTTTGCATTAAAAAAACTCACAATGTCACTAAACTAATCACTTAAAAGACATCAGTATCATATTTAATCCTTGTGAATTATATGAGATAGCCCAAAATTAATAAGGAATGCAGCTCAATTGTTAATTCAGAGAGGTTAAATATTTTGCTATGTGTCACACAGCTTGTAAACTAGAAATTTATCATTTAAAATTTGGGGTGACTGATTTTAAATTTCATATTTCAAATGACTGTGTTGTATTGTAATCCCCCATGGCAATTTTAATAATCCTACTAAAGCTTGTTTCAACCTTGTGCTCAAAACAAGATGTGCCCTGTTTGGAAAACAACCTTGTGCTCAAAACAAGATGTGCCCTGTTTGGAAAACAAACCTTAAGAACATACATTTGTATCTTGTCAACTCTCAAACTCAGTAGGTATGATTGCAGGCAACCCTCAAACTCACTTCTGTTTCTTTGGGGGAGGTTAGAAGGAGCATACCCTGTAGTGCTCAGAAGTTACTCTTGGCTCTTCACTCAGAAATTATTCTTGGCAATGCTTGGGAGACAATATGTGATGCCAGGGATTGAACTCCAGTTAGCTGTGTGCAAGGCAAACACCCTACCCATTATACTATCGCTCTGGACCCTAACTCATTTCTCTTTCTAAACTGTATGTCCTAGCTGCACATAGGACTCAAAGTTTTCCCTCATACATTAGGACTCTCCGATTATAGGCTAAGAAAATGGGTTTCCCCTTTATAA